TAGCCATAGCTGTTCACATAGAACCTGTTTATTTCCTATTAAAAGTCAGTTTGCTGGACTACTTCTCAAAACCCACTTTGAATTATTCTAAAAGAATTGTCTTAAAATATCAAAGAAGTATTAGAAGTCAATGGCTATGAGCTATTTGCACAAAGAACAATGTTCCTGCTCCCTTAACATTTACTGGCATCCCATGGAGTCCCTCTAAATTATGATCCCTGTAGCAGCAAAGTCATGACTTTGTGTACCTGTGCCATGCTCTATGTGTATTTTTGTATCTTGTCTCTCATCAAGATTTTTTTTTTTTTTTTTTCCCTTTTTTTTTTTTTTTTTTTTTTTTTTTTTTTTTTTTTAAGTAAGGAGTCAAGAAGAAAACAGCAAGCATGACACAATGAGTTGCAGTGAGGAAGATACATGGTACCACTTCCATGTTTTCTTCACTGCCAATGTATTAGTGTCCTTGTTCGTGCAAAATACTGACTAACAAGCTAAGGTGTAAAATCCAGAATCATGAACAATTCCATTAAAGACAGCTCTAGGGAAGCTGATATGGCTACACAGCAGACATCAAGCAAAAACTATCCAAGGCTGCATGAAATCAGAGACCTGTGTATATCTGTACAAAGGATATATGATCTACAAAAGGAAGATTGAAGCCAGGCCATGTCACTGAACCATCCCCAGGACTCATCCCACTGGGAAACTGCTTCCCTTCAGCACCTTTGTTGCTCACCCACTGCTGCTGTACCGCGGGGCATGCATCCATCATCTGAACAAATGTGGGAAAGTTTGTGTTGGAACAGATGAAAAGAAATTACTCGTGCCAACTAAAACCACTGTTGCTCTCCTATTCACATCAGCTGGAGGAGAACTTGAATCTGAAAACACGCCAAATGCAGTTATCCACCCTGGGGTATGAGGTTTGGGGACAGCCTAAAATGACACAGATCTTTCTCCAAATTCAAGTATTATTCTGTGTTTTCTTGTAGTATGGTGCTGGCCAGACAGTATTAAATTGCTTGGCTGGATAATTGTTTGGTGCCTCTACTCCACTCGGATGAGATCCCACCTTGACTGGGGTGGGATCTCTCTGGGGTGCCCAGCACACGAAGGACATCAACTTGCTGGAGTGAGTCCAGAGCAGGGCCACCAAGTTTATTGGAGAAATGGAGCACCTTTCCTATAGGGAAAGATGAAGCAATTTGGGTTTGCTCAGCCTGTGAAAGAAAAGACTTTGGGGTGACCTAATTGTGGCTTTCCAGTACCTGAAGAGAGCCTACAAGAAAAATGGAGACAGAGAATTTACAAGGGCATGTAGTGACAGGACAAGGGGAAGTGGTTTCAAACGGAAAGAGAATAGGTTTATAATACATACTGAGAAAATATTTTCACTGTGAGATTGGTGGGGGCACCAGAACAGGTCCAGAGAAGTTGTGGATGCCCCATCTTTGGAAATGTTCAAGACCAGGTAGGTTATGGTCTAGTGAAAGGCTTTCCACAGCAAAGGAATTAGAACTAAATGGGGTTTAAGGTATCTTCCAACTGAAACCATTCCATGATTCCATGATAATGGCCTAGTGGTTGGCTGGTAAGTTTTGAAATAGCATGCAGGGAAAATGCTTCCCAGTGTATGTATCAAAAAGTTGGCATTTTCATAATTTTTTTATCTGTATTCTAATGATTTTTCAAAATAATTAAATAAATCCAGGTTGAAATCACCTGGAAACTCCTCTTTCAAAGTCTGCCCTAACAGCAAATCTTGCAGATGATTTTTTTTTGTCATCATGAAAGATCCAATTTAATTTGTGCCACAGGCATTACTGACTTTAGTGTGAAATAGTTCTTTTAAACAGGTATGATCCAAAGGGGAAAAGAATTCTTAGATGTTTACTTGTTTAAGCTAGCTGATCAAATCAATTCTGGTATGCCAATAGCTCCAAAAGCTTTCATGTTACTTCTGTTACTTCAGAAATACTTGTACTAGTAATGATATTGCACACTAGCAACCATTTGCCATGATTGTATTTTCTGGAAACAGTATTTCTGAATTCACACTATAGAACCAAAATTACTAGGCAATACATGTTCAAAGAAGTACTTTTTTCCTTTCCCCCAAGTTTCTAAGATTATTTTTACATGTTTAGATAGAGAAGATAAGCACTGTAGTTTGTTGTCACAACAGAAACTGTGACAGTGCCTTTATGACAGAGATACCTTGCAGGAAGATCAGCTGAATAGGCCTTTGCCATTTACCCTAAAATCATTTGGTGTGGCTTGAATAACTGCTGATGCAAGAGGGAGAAGAGATTCCTCTCTTTCCTTCCTCATCTTTTCTTGAAATACAAAGACAACTGAAAGTGAAAAAAAAATGGCCAAGGACTCCATAGGTTCCAAAGGCCAGGTATAAATCTTGGACTGTTGTGGCAGTGGTCGGTCCTAGAGAATTTCATGTATGGATTTTTCAGCATGGTGGATCACTGAAAAGAGACTGACATGGGAAAAGAGACATATCAATGAATTATTCTTCTGCATCTCTTTTTTTCTATCCATATGCAACAATCCTGAAATGGCTGGAGCATATAATTTCTTTGGAAGCCTGAGGAGTCTCATACCATCTCAGCTGGTTTTGTGTGTTGCTGAGCTTCTGGCTCCACATGTCCCTCAGCCACCTGCGTTATGGGAGGCATGGTGATTGAAAATCCACACCTTTGCAGGGGTTTGCTGTTCTTTGGGTGGGAGCTTGTCCTTCCTGTGTGAAACTTTATGGGTAGGATGGATCAGTGGCATAGTTTGATTTGGTCAGGGTACATGTGCCTGCATCCTTGCACCTTCCATGCATTTCTTTAATCGAAAAGGGCTATCATTTATTGAAAATTTGCATAAAATAGATTTATACATATGCAATTAGAAGAGATTTGTCTCAGAAGTCTCTAATTACTATTATAAAAATCGATCAATAACTATTCTGATGATGCATCAGAGTCAAAACAAAGAAGAACTGTCTACAGAGTCAATGACTGATTTCAAGGAACAAGTTGGAAAAAAACCCAAACAGTTCACTGAAAGTGGTATCAGGAAATACTTGGACTTGAGCCACAGTGCTTTGGGTCTATAATAATAATAATAATAATAATAATAATAATGATGATGATGATGATGATGATGATGTATTTATTATTTTAGCTTGATTGAAGGTCACTGAGCTACTTTAGGTTTATGCTGGTATAAACTTTCAAGTCGTTATCTTCACGTCCAGGTTAATTTAAAATCCTTCTTGGTCTAAATTGATACCATTCACATGAAAGATAACCTGAAAGAATACTTATGTACCTTTTATGCCATATACTTTTATTATAATTTTTCAATCACTTCATTTGTTGTGCTACCATTTGGTGGTCAGACACACTTCGGTGGATCACCTTTTCCTAATGCTGTGGATTTTCCTATCCAAACTGCAGACTTTTCCATTTTGTCGGCACTCTTGACAGCGAGGAACTGTCCTGTCCGCGGAGGCAGCTTCAGGCAGGCTGTCCAGCCGGGAATGGCCGGCTCGCCCGGACACGCGTGGGTGCGTAGCACAGGAACGTTGCTTTCGCTGCTGACAGTGCCCCTGAGACACAGCGCCTGTGGGGTCCCCGCTCAGGCGCACATCCATGACCCACCTTTCCCATTCTGTCTGTAGACGTGCCCCCGACGGCAGCTGATAAATAGGGGCTGGACACACGCCCGGCACCTCCCCCGCGGCAGGCTGAGGGCGACACGACCCTCTGGCTGCGGGGAGGTCCGGAGGCGGTGCCGAGCAGCAGCCGGGAGCCGTCCGCACCCTCCGCCGCAGCTCTCCCGGAGGCTGTCGCGGCTCGCTGGAGGAGGATCCCCCTGCTCGGCGACCCGCGCCTGGGGGAGGGAAGGGGAGCGAGGGCGGGCGCCCGCCTCGCCTTTTCCGCCCCGGAGAGGTCCCCCCCGCCCTGAGGCGGGGCTCCTGTTTGCCTTCCCGTTAGCTCTGCCCGGGACTCCCTTCGGCGAGCGGAGGGGGCCTGGGAGGGGGCGGCCGCCGCCTTGGAGGAGCCCCTGGGCGGGGAGGCGGGCTGGCCGCGGCTGCCGCTTGGCTTGGCCGAGGGCACCACGTCAGCTCCCCTCACAGCGGGGCCGCGATGCGCGACCCCGAGTGACTGCAGCCCCGACCCCGGTCCCGGGGCAGAGGAACGATGGGGCACACCGCGGGCAGCTTCTCTCACGCCCACCTCGGCTCCCTCCCCACGAGGGGAGAAGCTGTCTGTAGAGCAGACGTGGCAGACAAGCCCGCCAGCTTTCCCTCAGCTGGGTGGGCGGGTGGCCGTCGCGAAGGGGAGCTGCCGGCAGTGCTCACCTCCTCCCTGCGCCCGCAGAGTCCCGTTCAGCCGGCCGGGAGGCGGGGAGCTCTCGGGGCGCCCGCTGCGCGCACCTCCGGCTCACCTCACACACACACACTGCCCGAGCGGCCGCGAAGCCGGGAGGGGACACGGGCAGGGCTCTGCCCACGCTCTGGACGGAGATGCTTCCCCTTGGAGAGCAAACAGCCGGGACGGGAACGGGCTCCGCCGCGGCTGCGGGCGGGCTGAGGGGCTGCCGGTGTCCCCGGCACTCGCTGTCCGCGGGGAAACGCCAGGGACCGGAGTGACCGTGCTAGAGGGGTCGTGCAAGAGGGTCTGGGAATGGGGAGAGCGTCGCCTTTTGCCTTTGGTTGCAGTGCGACTGTGGAGAGAGGTTGAGCTGGGATCCAGCCTCCTCCCGGCTGCCCCGGCCGCTTCCCCGCGGGGCGGGAGGTGCCGCAGGCCCTGGACAGCTCCCGCTTTGAACGCCGTCCGGGCGCTGCCAGCCGGCTGCCCGGCGAGGCTCCCGGCCGCGCTCCCAGAAAAGCGGGGCGAGAGGGGCGTGGGACGGCTGAGGGAAAAAAAAAAAAAAAAAAAAAAAAAGAAAAGAAAAAAAAAAGAAAGACAAGGGGGGGAAAAATGAGACGACGAGTCAGATTTTCCTTCCGAAAGCCTCAGTGTCCACGTCCTCAAAGCATGGAACCAATTTAGCGTCGCCGCCCCCCGCCGCCGCCGCTGCCAAGGCTGCTGTGGAGGGCTGGAGACGCGGGGCACGTGATGGCCTGGGCGGCGCCGGGACCCTCCTGCGGTATAAGTACGGTGGACCGGGGCTGGGTTAATTTAGCGTCCCTGGCAGCAAGTTTCTGCTGAGGTTGGAGTTACTCCTCGAGACTGTATGCCTGCGTCCCACAGGCGATAGCTAACCAACCGACTCGGCACCACAAGGAGTCTGCATGTCTTGCAACTAGACATGCTCAGCTTTGTGGATACACGGATTTGGTTGCTGCTCGCAGTAACTTCATACCTAGCAACAGGCCAACGTAAGTGCTTTCCGCTTGTTTGTGGCAGGGGTGGTGGCAGGGGTGGCTGTCCGGCTCTGCGCTCTGTGCTTTGTCCCGACGCCCGCCCCACGCACGGCAGTCTGCGGGGAGCTGCTGCTTCCCAAACCATAGAGACCAGTTCCTAAACTGCCACCTCCATCCCAGATCAGACTCTAGATTGTTTTTTTCCCTCAGAAAAAAAGATGGCAAACGATAAAGGAGATCCCCCTCTACGGGAGAAAAAAAAAAAAAAAAAAAAAAGGAAAAAAGAATAAAATAAAAGGGACCACCTCCTTCCCAGACTCGTACCTAGAGGAGGACACAAAGAACCTCACCTCCAGCGCAGATGCTGCGAGGAGACACAGATGCGGGCTGGGAGGACAGTGCTGGCGGCGAGCGGAAGAACCCAGGCTGCACTTTGTGAGGGGCGCCCAGGCTGCACTTTGTGAGGGGCGCCCAGGCTGCACTTTGTGAGGGGCGCCCAGGCTGCACTTTGTGAGGGGCGCCCAGGCTGCACTTTGTGAGGGGCGCCCAGGCTGCACTTTGTGAGGGGCGCTTTCCGAAGCGGGCACCTCGTCCCCCCGCCCTCCCTCCGCGGGCTCCGCGCGCGGGGCGCCCCCTGCGGGCCGCTCGGGGCCGGCGAGGCGGGCGGAGCTGCCGGGGGGCTCCGGAGGGGAGCGCCGTGAGGGGCAGGAGGAGGGAGGCGGGGAAGGAGCAGTGCCCCGCTCCAGGGCGAAAAGGCTCCCCGGGGGCGCAGTGCAGCTCTCCGCCTCTCGTTGGGTGAGGATGTAGTGCCCCCTCAAAGCGAAGCGCGCACACACTCACAGAGACATGCATATCCCGCACGCTGAGCTGGGAGGGAAACGCGCCCCGCCACTGGGCTGGGGGCGAAGCGGAGCCTTCCTGTAGCGCAGCGCCCTGTGTAGGGCCCCCCGAGCCCCCAGCCACTGTGGCTTTGACCCAGGGTTTGGCCGCGTTCCAGGGCGGAGGAGGGGGGGAGCAGCCGTGCCCCCCGGGATGACGCCCCCCGGGATGACGCCCCCCGGGATGATGCCCCCCGGGAGGCCCTCGCCGGGGCGGGGGGCAGCGGGGGGACGTTCTGGACGGGCATTCCGGGGACATTTCCCCCAGCCCCGGTGCGGGAGGCAGCTGCGCCTTCGCAAAGGGAACGGAGCGGGTCGTGTGGGTGTCCCCGAAGCGATCACCCCCCGCTTTTCTCGGGGAGTTTGGGTGGGCTCCGTTGTCACCGTCACCTGCGGGCAGTAGTGGCTTTAGTTGTGTGTCGGACTAGCATAGGCTGTCTCTGTGGAATTTCAGTGCTTTCAGCATTTCAGCACTGTTACCTTTTTCTGCACTGCACAAATCATCCGAATTTAGTGTGGTCAGACACTGCCAAAGTGACACGTTGTGGAAAAACATCCAACAACCTGTTAGTTAGCGGTAATGTTAAATTCAAGTGTGATGTGCCACTCTTACTATGGTGAGTTTAAGTCAAAATAGATTTTTAATTCCTTGAAATTAAGAAACTCAGAAATTTTTTTCTCCAACTAATAAAAAAAGTACATACTCACACTTAACAGTGCATAACATACAGAGATAGTTACTTGCAATTTGGTGTTTGTTTAATAGCTTCAAATTGTTCCCTGTTACAGTTTTACAGGAGAATGTAGAAATAGGGATGTTTGGCTAGAACCTTTCCTGATAAAAAGTGGGATTAGACCGTGTATATGAAAATTTCAGATAACTCCTACAATTTAGTATCTTCACATGTGTCAGTCTGCCTGGATTTATTAATCTCTTGCATGAACACATATGTGGAAATACATAGGTGTGGGGAGTTTTCAATGGAGGTATGTTGAAACATATTTAGAGCAGGTTTATAGTTGATATCTGCCTTTTTACTGTATCAGCCATGTTACTTGTTTTGATTTAATTAGCAAATCCATTTTGAATTTGAAATACATGGCATTTTCACCCTTGAGTCTTTCCAGTATAAAATCTTAACAGGAAGAAATTATATTAGGAAAATGTTTATTGCATTAAGGAAATCAACAAAATTGCATTTCAAATTAAAAGCAACAAATTTAATTTTGAATTGAAAGCAAGTTTAAAATTTAAAATTTGTAAAATATTTGACTCCCTGCTCTAATTATCTCTTTTTTTTTCCATTCCCTTCTCTTTACAGATGTGAGTCAGGTCAGTATAATTTTTTTTATCTAATATGTGACACTCCAGTTAACAGGCTAGGCTTCTCTTCTTGTGGCAATATTATCTTCTAACATTCATTCCCAAGATGGTAATGGAAAAGTGGTGATTAAATCCTGAAGGCACTGCCTGGAAAGGTACCCACCCCAGTTTCACAAGTGGGACGGCCTTTTTAAGAGCCTGCCCTCATAGGTGTAGAGACCATGAGGAGAAAGTAACGGAGCAGTGCTGTTTGGACATTGTACCTGGCAGTTTGGATTGGACATGACTCTACTTTAAAGCTGGTTTTTACAGTCTAAATTTCATTGCACAGTAGGATTATGAAAGAGCTCAGGTGTGACTTTTTTGGTAGTTCTAATATTTTAGTCTGTAATAGCTATAAGATTGTCAGTCTTCAACACAACTTTTTAGTACAGTTATATGCATCTTTGCTGTATATAACCACCTAGCCTTCAAGGTAATTTTAAATCACAGGGCATAGTTAAATATATTGGACTGAGAAAAATTATAATTATGTGAGAAAATGAGTCTAAGTTTATGCATTATTTTAATTTAAAATACTGGCAGAAATTTTAAGTTATTTTTTAAATTTTTCTTCCTTATTTTTTTCCAGGCACCTGCAGGGCGCAAGGTAAGCATTTTTATTTTTCTTGTGTGGAAATAATAATGATATTAGGTAGTCTTCAGCAGATTAATGTTTTGTTGAATATTGGATGAAAGGAAAATTGGCTACCCTGTTTATTTTCAGTGTTCTCTGAAAATAGCAGTAGTGCTGAGATGAATAATAGGAAAAAAGGAGGAAATTATTAATGCAGCATTTTAACACCAGGGTAAATTCAAGTATTGAATCAAAGGTGCTTCACCTGTGAGCAGAACTAAGCCTGCCAAGACCTAAATGGCATCAAAGTATCATTCTTATTTAAACAGAGTTCCTTTGTAAAGAATTGCGTGGATTGAATAGTACAGAAATATCCATACAGGTCTAAAAGGCTAAATTGATTCTATGTTATTTCTAAAAGTCACTACTGTTAAATTAGAACTAGTTATTCAGTAGAAACAAGCCTCAATTTTGCAAGTGCGTCTGTGGTCTGTGGAGTGACACTTCTAATTCACACAACAGTGGCAGTGACTAATCTATTTCCAGTAGATTATTGTGGACAAAAATACTGTCTGCAGAAAATAGCTGTTGGACCTGAATTTGAAGCTCTCTTTTCCTTTTTAATGTACACTAATTTTTCTTAATGTATCTGTTTCCCTGTATTGTCCTGGAAAATTTCCACAGTAACTCATTGAGTGTTATTTTCTTCCGGCAGGGCCCTAGAGGAGACAAAGGGCCGCAGGGAGAAAGGGTAAGGAATTAGATTGACGTTTACTTGTGATCTTTGAAGAGTAGTTGTTGGAAGACCAGTAGGAAAAAACTAAGTTTAAGCATTCTGTGAGATTGTACCTGTAGAAGCTTGCATGTGCTATTTAATTTAAAAAAGAAACCAGGTTACATATGTGCCAAACTCAGCCTAATTATGGTCATTGTGCCTGAGCAGATACAGTTGAGATCATAGGGTAGCCTAGCTCTTCAAGTGATGATTTGAAAAATGTTTTTCCAGCTGTTCACAGAGGAAATAACACATAGAAATACAGAGGGAAAAGTTGGCGTGAATTCTTTGAATAATATGGTGTATAAGTAAGCTCTCTACATAAAACCTGAATAGAGTAAGCCAGTTTTGAAGATAATTCATTATCTGTGTCTCCAGCGATGTTTTGGAAAAGCTCTTTTCTTGATAGCTGGGCATTTGTTATCTACCTTCTGCTAGTCAAAGGGCACGCTATACTGCTGAAGGCTCTACCTTAAAAGTAACCATAAATAAGAACAGTTGAATAATTTGATTGTAATATTCATTCATATTCCTCATATCTGCTTTTCTGCTTTCCTTCTGCATCATTTCTGCTTTTTGTAAAATGGTGTTCTGAACTCACTAGGGTTGTGTGTAGTTATGTGTATTTTTTTGTATCATCTGAAAGTGAAAATGCTACAGTACTGATGAGGGAGCTCTTGAAGATTTCTGAGATCATAGTGTGCTGACAAATGTAATGGAAACTATTAGGAAGACTATATCAGTGCGATGAGCTGGATATTTGCTTTAGGCTGTCTCTAACTAAATTTGTTTAATGAAATGAGATGCTTTCTTTGTTCTGAAGGCAACAAGCCTAATTCTGCTCCTGTAGAAATCCATTTATTATGAATTTCATTAAGTACTGAACTGGGTCCAAAAAACTCAACAAATTAAATACCTCACATTAATTGCCATGATGCCAAAACTTCACCAGCTTTATGTACTGAGGACAAAAGAATGTAAGGACGAATGTTACTGAACTGAACACAGGTAATTTCAATCTGTTGTAAAAGAAGTTCTGACAATGGTAGCAGATGGATGGTATAAAAAATCTGTAGAAGAGCACCGCTAAATTTTAATTGGATTTGCAATTATAACAGTAAATTGTCTATACTGATTAAAAAGCTGTCATTGGACTTACTCTGGATCCATGTTAACTCATATCGGTAGGGCTGACCTTTTCTAGTCCTCAGCTGGTCAAACTTTAGGCTCTCAATAGCAACATTTGCAGGCTGTGTGGGTCTGCGTGAGTCACTTGGGGTTCGTAGGTCCAAAGTTTGTCACTTAAGATGAAGCTTCCCAATTTGGACGTTATGCTGTGGTAGTGTAAATCCAATATTGCCCCTGTATATCTTTCAAATACACAGCTCCAGTACATACATATCTGATACTAGGTCTAGCAAGGGAACATAAAATCAGACTATATTTATTTTCTCAAGTTAAGCATTTATTGAAACTGTTTATTGAAATGTATAGCACTGCTGTAGGGTGTGCTGTGGGTGCGTGGTTATTAGTGAAGTTACCACATCAGAGATTTCTTCAGCCACTTCTAATTTTCACTGTATAATTCTCCTTTTAACTCCAGGGTCCACCAGGTCCACCAGGCAGAGATGGTGAAGATGGTCTACCAGGTCCTCCAGGGCCCCCTGGTCCTCCAGGTCTTGGCGGAGTAAGGCATCCAAACTTTATATTGCCATAACTCATGAGCTGTGCTTTGTAACCAAGATGAAATCTATATCTGCTGGAAAGCACTGTTGTTGAAGAGTGGAAGAAACATTGTCTTGCGAGCCATAATAAATTGATGGCCCAGTTTCCATGAAACCCTCCTTGGGGTGTATATATTCCATGGAAAATTTGGATTCTGTATTCAACAGGGACTTAGGAAGAAGAGCAAATCTATCCTGTTATTTAGCATTAAACTTACACAGCAATAATGTGTATGAGTTAGGCATCAACTAAATGAAACCAGAGCTGTTAAGCAGATGGGGAAAAGAAATTGTGGTTGGATTCAAGAGACAGCAACTACATAAAAATAAGCAAAGAAGACGACTCCTTAAGCTAAAAATCAATCAAAAGTGCTATATAATTTTAGAGTGTTGTCCTTTAGAAATTTTTCTTTTTATCTGTATTCATGCTGCAGAACTATAAATGGGCTGTGCATACACACTTTGTGCACCAGTGTCCATCATGTATTCTCTGCAGAATGCTCAATTTAACTCCTTGCTTGACATTAGCTACATAGGGATCATGAAGACATAGACAGTGTTGTATTGATAACTTTAGTAAGTCATTTTGCATGGAAGAATACTCTTTTTTACTTCAATACCTTATTTTGCTAGTTTGCAAATATCAAACTGCTTTCATTGTTTGTTTTTTTTTTTTAATTTCAATATGTTAATGAAACCAGCAAGAAAAGGGGGTTTGATTGTGTTGTGGAGAATCTTTTTCTATTTTTGATAAAATATCAAACATCCATTGCAGTGTTTCTGAGGCTGCATGCTCCTCAGATGTTTCGGAAACTGAAGGGCCCACCTTATGCAATAGCTACTCAGGGCTGGTCCATTAATTTTACTTATGCATATTTTTTCACTGCTTTGCTTAACTTCCCTCATTGGAAATTAGGCAGAATAATTTAAGAGTTTCAAGAAAGTTTTCCATTTTAAATGAGCACTGAATTTATATTCCTAATTTTCAGTTCACACTATTGAATGCCTCTCTATCACTTCTGCAGAGATATTTAGGTTTGAAAGGGCCTTCCCAGTAAAATCAAGTCTTTTTGGAAACAAGTCAATAGAAATATATTTATAATAGGGCTATATTTACTGGGTTGTATGTATGCTGCTTTAACAAACCTCATAGCAAGTATAACAAATCAGATGATATTTAGATACAGAATGTAGATTATAAATAGTTTTTTAAGAAAGGTTTTTAGTATTTTGATTTCAACCTTTTTATTCTCTACAGAACTTCGCTGCTCAATATGATCCATCTAAAGCAGCAGATTTTGGCCCAGGACCTATGGTAGGTATATGACATATCACTTGATAACTCATTTGAATAATGTGTTCAGGATTTTCCTTTAATTAAGCTGCATTAATGAAAAACATAGTGTTAAAATTTTGGGTTTGATCATATATTGACTCAGACTGAAAACTGATCCTTTTATATAGGATGATAAGTGTTTTATATAGTCTGAGGGTTTGAAATATGGGGTTAAATCTGTATATTTATCTTGAATACAGCACTGCTGGGTGTTGTGCTTTAACTCTGTTTATTGACCGCACTTTTATGAGTCAATGAATCTCATTAACTGATGTTAGATAGCACATGTACTTTGAGATAGTATTACTTTACCCATATTGAGACAGAAGATTGTGTTTTAGGAATGAGATTAACTGTAAAGCTGCTCTCTAAAGCAGACACAGGCCTAAAAAGTAATTCAGCGTCTTGGCTCCAGTTGGTGATGATTTTTCCTCCATGGCTGTACAATTCTTTTGATACCCTTGGACTGCACTGGTTTTTAAGAAATTGGCCCCTGCGTTTGGTTCTCAACATCTGAATGTCAGTACTTGATACTGTAAGGCTGTTCTGAGGACTCTTTATAGCTCACTGTATACTATGTACAAATGGAATTCAAGGGGTCTATTGCTACTCCATATGTCTTTTGTTAGCAAATATTTTCAGCCTACATATGTAGCAGAATATGGGTTAAATTTACCGCACACACTGAGGTCACAGACAGTGCATCTGATGGGTGAGCAGCAAGATGAAGGATGACCAGAATTATTCTGGGTCAAGTGCTTGCTTCCACTGCCAAAAAAACTCTAACATTAAATGGATTTTGGAAAATACTTCGGTATCCATTTAGTTATGAAATATAGAAAATAGGAGTATCTTTAATCAAGTTCTGCCCTCAGTGTCTAGTGATTAATCAGAAAACATAGATGAGGATTTATCTGAGGTCACCATTTTTATATTCCAATTTTTGAGTCAGGTTCATTTGACAGAAAAAGCAGTAGAATCTACCTATTGTGAGGAAGTTTTAAGTTTCACATATTTATTTCATAAATAATATGTAAAATTCAGGAAAGGAAAAGTAGTTATAGAATATAATTTGATAAGAAATTCTCAAGAAATTTGAGAAGTGTTTATGCAGCACATATGATTCAGATTATCTAGAAATTATTTTTTCTAGAATTACTGCATATTTTCATATCCACAACATTGCTTTAACTTCCATGAGTAAATGCCTGTAATTAATATCAATTTATTCCTCTTAATAAAAGGTTTTCAGTCTTATGGAAAAGCTGTAAACCACTGAAAAGTTGACATATTATTTTAATGTTGTAATGAGAAAATCTAAAATACTTTCCAAGAAAGCTTTAAAACAAATTTAAAACATAATTATTAAAACATAATTATTTCTGTTGAAACATCTTATAAATAAATTGTTTGGACTATAGAAGTCCAAGTTAAAATTTCAGTTCACAATTGTTTTCTTGTTTAGTAAACCTTAAGATAACTGTTGAGTGCTCATCAATCTATGGAAATTTCCTTTTTAGAAGTGATTTTTCTCACCCTGTGTTTTCAAAATGTGTGTAAATTGTAAATAATGTCAAGGAAAATGTACTAGTGACTTATTTTGCAAGTGATACAAAGAGAACTTATTAAACACCAGAAAAAAATGAAATATTTAAATAGAAGTAGAGAATTATTGGAAATAGATGTATATGCAATGTGTATAAGAGCCTTTTATGATGCATTATGACCCTCCTCTTTAAACGTTTCTGCACAGGAAGGGTAGAGGGAAGAATTCGAAAGAGAATGAACCAGATCACATTCTAACAAGCCAGAACAGATTAAGAAGATGAACCATGACGTTCAAAGCCATAGTGGTACAGTTCTAATCATGCCACTGGGTTCTGTGCTAGTTGTTGCCATTAGTTGTTGCACTTGGCCTGTTCAAATTCATGCAAACCTCTTAACTTCCTCATTTGTGCATTGCACAATGGAAACTGTGATGCTAACCATGTTTTAGGAATGCAGGGAATTGGTGTTATAGATGAGTTTATATAATTGATGTTCTTAAAAAGATCTTGTGATTTTTCTTCCATAGGGTTTAATGGGACCCAGAGGCCCTCCTGGAGCATCTGGACCCCCTGTGAGTAGTCTTCTCTCTCCTACTGACATTGACATACCTGTAAAATTACAAATTATCTTGTTTGGAAACCAATAGTATCTGCCTTATTTTCTAGGGTCCTCCTGGTTTCCAAGGTCTACCTGGTGAGCCTGGTGAACCTGGTCAAACAGTAAGTACAGATCACATACAGACACTACTTGCATTAGGAATAGCACACCAAAGTAGGCTTGTAATGCTTAGGTGCATTTCTCCTATCCATATACACTTCTCTGAATGTTTGGATACTTCTGCATGATCCTGTTACAGAAACAGAGCTTAACTCAGATTCAGGCTCTCTCCACTTGGAATCATAAAGTGCAAAGTCAATTAGGCTCAGAAAACAGTGGGAAGATGAATATAAAGACTGATGCTTCAAGTAATTCTCAATTTTTGACAGGGTCCCCAGGGTCCTCGTGGTCCCCCTGGTCCTCCAGGAAAGGCTGGTGAAGATGTAAGTGGTTATTAAGTGTTTTTCATCTCTTTTGGGGTGGTGATTCAATGCTAACAGACAGATTAGTATTAAGTTATGCATTCTATTGGCCACATTTTATTCATCGTTAAATAAATAAACCCCTGAAATAATTATTTTGTGGCGCAAGAGATGCAGGATGCTGGAAATACACAGAAAATTGGATAACATCCAAACCATTCCAAATATATTATTTAACTTCCTGAGTACAGGGAGAAGAAAACTTAAAATTAAGAATCTCCCTGTATTTATGGAAAAAGAGAAGCCTTGCCAATGTACTTTCTTTTTTCTTTGTGGTTTGTGTTGCTGTTTTATAAGAGCTTTCCTTCTTAGTGCATCTTTATTGCATTTTTAGGGTCACCCTGGCAAACCTGGAAGACCTGGTGAGAGAGGTGTTGCTGGACCTCAGGTGTGTAGTGATCCACTGGATACAATAAAACCAGTTCACTAATCAATGAAACCTAACAACCTGCCTGAATTTCACCACATTAGCAGTCTAGTAATATTCCTTATATGGATTAATACAATTTCACCCTTACCTGCAGGATATCATATACTTATGTTTTTATTTTGTTTCCCTACCCCATTCCCACTAAAGCTAGTAATGAGTAACAGAAGTGGCATGACAGTAACTGAAATGTGAGGAGTTACACAGGAGCAGGTAACCAGGCACCTGGGCATAGAAAGTTAAAAAAGCTCTGCTGTCACGTGGTAATGCATGAAATTTCTGAGATTCAGAATGGGAGAAATCAGGTTGATTGCTGTTAGTCTTGAAACAAGTCTGGTCCTGAGATGTTAGGATCTGGATTCTATTCCTTCCTTGAGTGATAATGACCCAAATCTACTTGTTAATTTTATTGAAAGACTTAGTCATCATCTTTCCATTTAACTTCACTGTGTAATATGAAAGACAGTCATTCATGCACTCTGTGTTTTTAGGGAGCTCGTGGTTTCCCTGGAACTCCTGGTCTGCCTGGCTTTAAGGGAATTAGGGTGAGTGTGTATATACTTTTTCCTGAATATTTAAGACTAGCATCACTGCAGCATACTGAAAACCCCTAGAAATCCTCTGAAAGTGAAGAGCGCATTAACCTCTTCAAAGTTTTTAATATTGCTTGATAAAAAAGACTAATTATTTCTGAAAAGTCAGAAGATTATATTGGGAAATAATTTTGTGTGAGAGGAAGGTTTTATGTTATAAGACTAAAATTTGCATAAAGCCATTTGAGAGAAAATATGTATCAATATTTATTTTTCTACTCAATATAGGGACACAATGGTCTGGATGGTCAAAAGGGACAACCTGGTACTCCTGGCACCAAGGTAAAGAAAAAATATAAAAATACAGGATGCATTTGTAGCTCTTCCTAGCAAAAGACATGTGAAGTCCCATCCAATCAGTCTTCCATGTTGCCATTAAACATTGCCCAGCTGCAGTAATCTAGAAGTCAGTGGATCCAAGTAGAACAAATACATGCACCTTGTCATAAGAAAACATTCCTGAGGCCTTAGACTTGAGTCCTCAATTAAGCTGTAAGTAGGCAAGTTAGTGCTTTCAGTGAATAAAGGCTGCAGAACTGGGCTCTTAATGATTGGCTATTCAGCAGCACTTCTGACTGATTTTGCTATCTCTGCTCTTCTCTGGATTGTATTCTACATTTGGGTGGGTGTTTTTAAAGCATGCTAAAATGAAAACACCTCATTTTCTATAAAACTCTATTGTGTGAGACACATGATCAGTGTAAGGCTTCCTGCTAAAAATTTGTATACATGCTTCACTGTGTTAAGACTATTTGATCCTTACAGTCTTATTTCTTTTTATCATCTTCATATTAGAGCAAGCACATTTGAACAATAGCCTTAAAAAAACCCTTAAGAATATTCTGAAATATAGTCTAGAAATATCTATGATAAACTCTTTGTCTTTTATTTTTTCCTTCTCCTATTCCACCTCAGTGCCTAATATTAGTGTTCTTGAAAAATTTGCTGTTGCATCGTGTTATAGAGAATCCTGACTGATTCACAGGAGATTCGTGTTCACAGACTTCTAATATAAGAATGAAAAATTCAAATACTAATTCTCCCTCTTGCTTGTTTCTAAGAGCATAGCACTACTTGGTTCTAGGGTTTTTGGTTGTAACATAACAATCTTCAGTATCACTGCAAGTTGTTAACCTTCAGAAAAAGTTTAGATGGCTAATTCTGTCCAGTCATTGGATATTTAAAGAAGATAAAGCACATAAGTAAAGCATAGAACAGTTAATAGTAAGAGTGCTAGAAAATACTAGCATAATAAATCAAGGTTGTTCATCATATAACCGTGCTGAAAGCAGCAATGAAGGCAAAAACTTGCTCCCTTTGCAGCATTTAAGACTAGGGGCATTCAGGATACAAGTGCTCTAAGACAAAACTTGTCACTGCAGACCAGCCTAAACTTGTTGAGAAGGCTGTTGAGAGTACAGTACTGAAGGGAGAGGAGCCAAGTGTTAATGGCTATTATTCAAATACTCAGTATTATTGGTCTTAAGTTAAAAATACCTGAGGCATATCTTTATTTTAAGCCATTTGAGAGGATTTTGTCAACTTATACTAAGGCAAAAGAAAGCATCATTCTGCTTCTGCTCTAGCTAAAAAACAGCTGCTGATTGATCTGGATTTGTAGTTCACTATCCAGATCCAATGTCTTAAATGTGTATTACAGAGTAAATGTCAGCATAAAGAAAGGGTGTAAAGAAAGCTGAGCAAGTGACACAATTTTCTCTTGCCTCCCCTTCTAGAAGGATTCCATCTGGCTGTGTTCCAGTATATGCAGGGACGATTGTAGTCTCTGCACTCTCAGGACTTGATGTGCTATTGTTGTATAATGTGATGCAGAAACATGGACAGTGATGTCTTACAAAATGCTACAGAAGACACAGACAGTGGGATCCAGTAGGCTGAAAATCTCTCTGATAGTGTTAGACTATCTGTCCGAAGCATCCTTTAGGTAACTCAAATCTCTAAACTTTCTTTTTCATAGGGAGAGCCTGGTGCCCCTGGTGAAAATGGTACCCCAGGACAACCTGTAAGTATTCACTGCTGCTGTGGGAAAGTATAATCCGATAGATTTAGTTCAGCCAGAATTTTCTTCAATATTTGTTATTATTGACACTCCAGATACCCAGATACTCTAATGTAATATGACTTAACAGAGGAAAAAATGTCTAAATGTCTATGTTCAATGAAAATATATAAATGAATAAATTTAATTTTTTTTTTCAAGGGTGCTCGTGGTCTCCCTGGTGAGAGAGGAAGAGTAGGTGCCCCTGGACCAGCTGTAAGTGGCTTCCCATCTGTCTGTCATCATGTGCCACCCACTTAGTGTGGCTTCCTCTGATATTCAGTTCTCTTTTCAAACTATCTATCATGTTCTTCCTCACAGGGTGCTCGTGGAAGTGATGGCAGTGCTGGCCCCACTGGACCTGCTGTAAGTTTGTCTTGCTTTTTGGCAGCCTGGTTCCATTAGGCTTTGTGCTTCTTTTCCTAATTTTAGAGGATTTCTTGGGCTCTTAAGAAGTTGATTGTGTTGATGTTTTTAACATAGCTCTCTGTTGTTTATCAGAACATCACAAAGAGAATTAGTGAAACATAAACCCTTTGCAGATAGTATCATGAGAGCCTCAGGATTTATATTAATCACATCCATATCAAAGGAACCAAATATTCTCTTGTTTGCACTGGTGATTTCATGAGAAGGTTGACCAGCACACCTCACTGGGAAATAACCAGAGCACAGAATTCTCATTTCCAACAGTCTAACAGAAGAATTCTCATCCAGAAGCTAAAGAGACTTTCTAATTTTTAACAGATACATATTATGTATGTGTTACATATGGCTATAATTATGTACATCCTGTCAACTATATATGCACAGGACATAGCTTTGCACCTGCAGGCACTAACCTTTTTCATCCACCGCTGATACCTGTGTTGTGAGCTAGTGTGAAAGGTCAGCAAGATCCAACTCTCCTGCTCTGACTGGTACAAACTATTCTAATAAGAGCTAATCCAATGCAGATTTGACTGTTTAAAAGGAGTTAGTCTTGCCATAATTTACCCCTGACTTCAGTAAACCTCATTTATCTCAGCCACAAAAATATGAATACAAGGATGTAGTATTGAAAGTGTAAAACAAATCTGCAATACACTAGAACAATAGTAATAATAGTTAATAGGTTTTTTCTCCCTACCTTCAAAAACTGAGTCTTATGATGAAGCTGTACTTGGTTCTGTTTTGCCAGAGTTGATTTTAATACCCCTTGTCCCTTCAAACACCTGTTGTGCTTTAACTGAGTGGAATGTGAGCATGGCTATGAATTTCTCTTGCATTCTCCCATGTGGAGTATTTTAAAAATATGTGATTGGGCAGTTAAATTACAGACAAATAAAGATCTTACAGCTAATATCTGATGTAGTAGAACCAAAACATTTTAACTGAAGACATTTTGAATTAAGGCAGTTGAGTTGCTATAGGAAAAATGTTCTAAAGCTGTCAATTGCATGGGTTGTTGTTCACAATGGGTACAGTGTTGCCTTATGTCCCAGTGTCTGTCCCAGGCTGAAGTTATTTGTCACATACCTAAGGTTATGATGCCTTAAATATTCTGCAAAGCACTTACTAACACTCATTTATTAAAACTAAAACAGAAATAATGTTTTATCCTTCTTTCCACTTGAAATTTAAAATGTAAATAAGTAATTGCAATGAAAATTCTGGAAGTTTATGCTTTCAAACATATCCTGAAGGGAATTTGGTCAAGTTTTTTTTTTTGTTGTTTATGCAAAACTAGTGACAATTCCAGGTACCCCCTTTATAACAGAGTAGGTTATAGAATGTTTGAAGCCAATTCCTCTTTGTCATACCAGCTGACATGTTTTATTACCTTGGATTTGTGAGGCATTTTTATTGTAAATATTTTTAATTGACAGATACTAGCTTGCAAAAATATATATATCAATTCCCAATATCAGTTGGATTTTTAAATTAATAATTGAAGAAAAACTATCACTTTTTATTTGTATGCATTAAAAAATTTAGGCTATTAATCAATCAGAATATCTTCTCTTGTAATGTCTCATACATTGGAACTTTGTCCCAATGTAATTATAAATCTCACAGCAGTAGGTAAACATAGCAGAATCAGTCATCTTGCCTTGCAGATACCTGCCTCTGATCATCCTCCATTTGTTATTTCTCAGGTGTTTGGCCTCAAGGCAAGGTTTTACCACTTCTTGTTTAATTTGCACTGCAAATGTTGTTTCAGCATTCACCTGGCTCTTTACTGTTTGTAGTGAACCAAATCTGTCAGTTTGGACCTGAAAAAGGCAGCTAGTGTGCTGAAGGGGTAATGTGTGGAATACGTAAATGTGCATTTTTTTAATCTGGTTACTTCAACAAGCAAGTTGTTTCTGTTGTCACTGAATACCTTTGCACAACTGTTTCCCTTTCACTTCCCAGGGCCCTATTGGTGCTGCTGGTCCTCCAGGCTTCCCAGGTGCTCCTGGTGCTAAGGTATGAACATCTGCTTCTATTGCTATGTCATTGTGAAGATGAAATGTACTAAGCAGAGTTTCTAGGCAGCAGAAAAATCCCATCCTCTATGAACTGAGTGCTTTCTTATTAGTTACTCTAGGGATTCATCCTCATTGATCTGCATTTGGAGAACATCAGATATGAATGCTAATTTAAAAGTCAGCACTTACTTCACAGCTGAAGATTGAAGCTGGGCAGGTTCAGGAAAACAGAAGCCTTCTACTGCTTCCTAATTGGTGCACTTATATACACTTGCAAAGGGTGACATGAATCATAATAAATAAGTGAGGCAGCAGTTAAATCACTTTACAGAAATAGTGGAGGACAAAGAAGCTGTATTTGAGTATTGGGCTCCTTCCGAGTACCTGAAATTGCAATACAGAAATTGTATGAAAATTTTTCAGGTTTAGGGCAGTACCATTTTGCTCTTGTGGACTATAATTTAAATTATTCACTTTATTGCTCAAATCTTAGCATTTTTGAACTGGGTAAAAGCCTCAATATTTTGAGTGACCAAGGAAGGACAGAGTATTAGAGGAAAGAGTATTGCATATATTTCATTTACAAATTTTGCTGACCATTTGTCACAAAATCCATGTCATACTGTGTATCAGACAAAACTTAATCCTCTTTTAGAAGAAAAAAAAAAAAGTGGGTTTTTCTAGACACTTTAATTTTAACTGCAGGGAAGATGAGAAAAAAATTGAGATCCCATTCTGGTTATTCTTTTCAGAAGGCAAGACTTGAAAACCATTAAGTCTTTTCTAATGCAGATGTAAGCATGGTTATAGCATATAGCTTCAAGGGAAGACTGTCTGCATATCCAGGATGAACTCTGACTGAACTGCTGAAGAGAACTTGTCATTATATTCAGGTTCTTGTAATAAATTTAGGGAATACAACCTTCTGAAAATATAAGCAAGAACCTTTTTTTTGTCATTTATTCCAGTGCGAACATTATCGTATACACTCTGATCAGGCATAATTTTGCATCTGTGCAAATGGCATCTGAAAGTGCAAGATAATGGTCTCAGCTGCTTGGTTTCCTGGCCTCTGAAGCAGGAATACACGAATATGATTATCTTTGTGCCAGGCTGATACAGGATTGCTTCACTCTTGCCATAAGGCTGTGTACACTGAGAGAGGGTTCTGTCCTTCTCTCCAACAGGGTGAAATCGGACCTGCTGGTAATGTTGGTCCTAGTGGTCCTGCTGGCCCAAGAGGAGAGATTGGACTTCCTGGTTCTAGTGGTCCTGTTGGCCCTCCAGTGAGTAACTTGCCAAGCTTTATCTACTGTCAGATGTGTGTATTTTTGATTCTGAATTAACCAGTATTGTTACCTTTCTTAACAGGGCAACCCCGGTGCTAATGGTCTCCCAGGGGCTAAAGGTGCAGCTGTAAGTATAACTACATTCAGATGTGTTTCCTCTAAATAACCCAGTTCAGTTGATGAAGCAGAAAAGACAATGGGTTCACAATATCTTTTTTCCCCTCTGTTGGACAGGGTCTTCCTGGTGTTGCTGGTGCTCCTGGTCTGCCTGGTCCCCGTGGTATTCTTGGTCCTCCTGGCCCTGCTGGTCCTAGTGGTGCTAGAGGACTTGTTGTAAGTGACCTCTTGTATTGCATGTATTTGAAAACCAGACACAGTTTCCACAGTTGTAAAAGATCTCTGGATACATTTTTGCTATAGTGCAGACATCTTTTCTTGATGCACTGTACTAGAACATTGTAGTTAATTTCTGTGTCTCATTACTTGCTTTAGATGCTGAGACTGAAAATGTTCACTTTTCACTCCCTGTGAGTGCAAGTAGTTGGATTCGGTGATCCTTGAGGGTCCCTTCCAATGCAGAATATTGTGTGACTGTGAAGTTCTGTTCATGTTGATAGCACTGAGAGAGATGTGGCAGCAATCTCCCAACTAGGCCTTGAGTGGGTATCCTCAGTAGAGGAACCAGCCCTAAATGTGTTGTTGTTCAGTACTGTCATTTCCAAGCACCTTTAACACGTTTGGTTTTGTGCCTTTTAAGTCAAAAATACAGTCATGCTCATTGGCCATTTTCATGACAGAGGGAGGCATGCCATTAGATGATAAAAGTATTTTATAAGTCATGATTAAGCTTTCCAGGTAGAAGAGAGATTTTTGGAATGATGCCTAATTCTGTCATCTCTTTTTGTTATGGACTCTAGGGTGAACCAGGCCCCGCTGGTGCCAAGGGAGAAAGTGGTATGAAGGGTGAGCCTGTAAGTATGGCAAAATGTGAAGGCTTTTTCAATCAAAAGCCTGATAATATCTGCAACACAGCCTCTGATACCTGCTTTTTCTCTGTTTGTTCAAAATAGGGTGCTGCTGGACCTGCTGGCCCTCCTGGCCCTAGTGGTGAGGAAGGCAAGAGAGGCAGCCCTGGTGAACCTGGCTCTGCTGGTCCCCCAGGCCCTGCTGGTCTGAGAGTAGGTTTTCTTTTCATGTTCCAGACTTAGAAGCAAAAAAGAAAGTGAAAATCAATCTAGAGTCCCACAGGCAAATTAAATAATTAGGAGTAATTAAATTTACATTTAAGCAGCTAAGCAGTGATTATTTTCAATTCTGAACCTTTTGATTAGTTGGGACCAAACCCAGTTTTGCTTTGCATTAATGCTTGTTTACTCTCTTATTCCCTGAAGTATTTAGAGATTGCTTTGATTTATCCACTGTATAATATTTAGCGAATTATCTTTTGATTACTCTTAAAAGTTTGTGGTGGGATTTAACTGCTTAAAACAGATAATGGGCTCACACATAATGGGGGGCAAAAGCTTTCAATTCAGTGTCTTCAAGGATGCCTAATAAACTTTTCACTGGGTGTGAATGCCACCCATGAACTTCATATAGCTTCGTGAAGGAAAAGAATTCACAGAAAAATAAGAAAAATGGCAGCGCTTCCCCCAGATTTCTTTTTTTTTTTTTTTTTTTTTTTCTCAGAGATAAAGAATTCAGTCAGTAACTCTACAGGGAATCTAGACCTGTGTGGGCCAGGCTGTGGGATCCTAGCTGCTGGTTAGATCTGTTAGTTACAATTAACACTGAAAATACAACAACAGATTAGAATTTAAAGAAATCTACAGGAAGTGAGAGAGATTCTTTCACAATATCTATTTACACTGAGGTGTGTGTGCTTAAAGCTGCACTTACTTCAAATTCAGCAGACCGGCTTGGAAGGCTGAAATCTAGTAGGCACTATACGCCTCACAGGAACAGATTTCTTTCTTTCCCTTTCTTGATTTGTTTTGTGTTGACTTGCAGGGTGTACCTGGATCTCGTGGGCTGCCTGGAGCTGATGGCAGAGCTGGTGTCATGGTAAGACTTTTGTCTGGGTCACTATTTTTGAACCACCTTTTATATACAGATCTGCATTGCTTTTTGCTACCTCTGCCTAATTTTATTTCTTTCTTTTGGTAGGGACCTGCTGGTAACCGTGGTGCTAGTGGTCCTGTTGGTGCTAAGGGTCCTAATGGTGATGCTGGCCGTCCTGGTGAGCCTGGTCTTATGGGTCCAAGAGTAAGTTCAAGCTCTGTGGATTAAGTGTGAACTGCATAGGAAGAAAATTACTTACAATTAATGGACAAAATTATTCGGAAATCCAACTACAAAAATTCAGCATGTGTTAACCACAGTTAGTGTACTTCCACCACCATACTGAGAAAACAAGAAAAAGTTAGGAACAATTAAGAAGCATCAAAATGTTTATTGAAATTAGTTACTTTTGTTAGGGTAGCGTTTGATGGCCATGGGACGGAGCACTGTCCTCTTGTACTGGATACTGCATTGACGTCTGTAAGGGTTTCCACTTGTGATTATTTACAGAATGTGATCATTATGATCACAATTAAGGTGTGTGTGTTCTCTTCAATGAACTCAAAGGAAAGCAGACCCTACTAAAATGATGTGAAATGGCTGATGTAAATTATTTCTTTTTTATTTTACAAATTATTTCACTGAAAACAACCATTTACTTTTAGTGGTGTGGGCTGCAGCCAGATTACATTCATCTCATTACATTTATACTCCTTATTCTTTCTCTTCCTACCCTACCCTGTGAAGTAAAGGTTTGCAATGCATATATGAGTATTAGGCATCTACAAACATTGAAACACAGTATCCTCCAAAGCAGACCCTAAATTAGTTTCTCTGAGTAAAACAGGTACTTCCCTATACTGATTTTCAACTGGCATGGGGGCACACACGATCAAATTAAGAGTCAGTGTGCTTCAGGTGGAAATGTGATAGCATCTACAGTCCTGTTTAAACAGTGGACACGGATAACTTGGCACCTGTGTGTGTGTGCATGCATGCATGTAGAAAAACTGGTGGTTATGTGTTGGGTGAGTAGGTTTCCTTCTAAAAACATGAAATTTTTCCTTTCTCAGGGTCTCCCAGGTCAGCCTGGAAGCCCAGGCCCTGCTGGCAAGGAAGGTCCTGTTGTAAGTATCTTGCTTTTTATTCTGTTCCCCCTTTGTGCGGGAAAGAAGGAAGTACAATTGTGTAAAGCAGACATCTCAACACTGAGCTCTAACACAACTGTGTAAAACCAGCAAGATTCTCTATTGTATTACTCAGAAGATCGAAGTGAAGCTTTCCATTCATTTCTGTGGGTGTCAGATCAGGCCTGTGTCCTGGGAGGGGAAGAAGAAATACAGAGTTCTACAAAAAGGAGAAAAAGGGAGGGATGCATAAACATGTGATGTATCAGCAATGGTGAAAAGTTAAATTTGCTTCCTGTCAGTACATATTTCTCCTAAAGCTGAATTAATTTACCTCAACCGTTTAATAGTATGATTTCTTTTTCTAGGGTTTTCCTGGAGCAGATGGTAGAGTTGGGCCAATTGGTCCAGCTGGTAATAGAGGTGAGCCTGGCAATATTGGATTCCCTGGACCAAAAGGTCCCACTGTAAGTACAGGACAATAACTTTGTATTACTATGAAAGTATTTCCAGGGTCTGGAAGGGTAGGGTAGTATATCTGTAGGGTCCCAACTCTATCATTAATCCAACACATCTCCCTATATGCTCCTGCGCTGCTCATTAGGTAGCATCTGCTTAAATTTGAGAGTTCTGTTTCAAATTATTTTCCAGTTATCTAAAATATGATTAAAGAAATGAAAAAACAGTTTAATTAGCTTAGGGATATTTTGACATTGACGTGATTAGAATAATATATGTCTATTTTATTATTTCAGCATGTCCATTTTATCATTTCTGTATATTCACATCTGTAGAAATTCTATCAAGTTTGGCCATTAAACCAGTTTCAGAGTACTGTTATTTATGGAACACTAGCCAAAGTTCACTCAATTTAGAAGAAAAGCTACCAGTGACTTCAGTGGAGTTCTTTACATGTCCCACAGAGGCCACAGATAAAAATCATGTCCTGGACTTGGGTGTTGCTGTACATACACACACATGCAAATACATAGTGTATTGCATAGGATACTACATGGACTGCCATGACTTACAATCTCAAAACATAAAGGCATCGAGTTTTGCAAACATACATATTTTTGAGCTAATCTAAGTGATCCAAAAAGACAGATGGAGATTGTGTGTGTTTTAATTTGGGTTAAAGAAATACTTCAGTAAATCTTCTGCAGTGAGAGTGTAAGTCTCTGCTTAGTAGTTTAAACTGAATCTAATATGAATTGTTGGTTAACTTTTATATCTTTTTCTTTCAACTTCAGGGTGAACCTGGCAAACCTGGTGAAAAAGGCAATGTTGGTCTTGCTGGCCCACGGGTACGTGGATATATTTTATTTATCACCTTCCAGAGAGGAAAAAAAAGTAGATTTTCCAAACCTCTGTAATAAGATAGCATTGGCTTGTGCAAGTTTGACTAAATGATGAAATTTGAAAAGCCCTTGGGAATGCATTATTTTTAGCCTTTGTCGGTGGGGACTATTACTTAATGGATACATGAAAACTCACCTTTTTGGGTATTAGTTGTGTAATTAATCATGGGGTATTATCCTATGAAGAGGAAAAATTAGCACTCCCTGTCCCTAATCCTTAGAGCACAGAGTATGGTTTCCAATTCATCCTGTAAACTTACAACTTTTTGCTCATAGTTGAAACTTACTAATTCTTCCATTTAAGGGACTGAAAAAACAGTCTTGTGTGGGAAAAATGCTATCAGCAAGGTTTCTATATTCTGTAATTCCCAAAGAAGTTTTCTTAAGTATGAATATGCTGCAATAACTAAAACAATTATGAGAATTTAAAATTTTAAGCATCCTTAGTACCTCTGGCTTTGAAGTTCTTGAAAGTAAATGGTTAAGTTCAAAATACAGTCAGAGACATTTGCTTTTGGCACATAATCATTTAGAAATATTAGTCATATCAAATTAAAACTTTGATAATAGCTTTCTACTTGAACATATACAGGGCGCTCCTGGTCCAGAGGGAAACAACGGTGCCCAAGGTCCACCTGGAGTCACTGTAAGTAACGCCCTCTGCACAAATCCAATTTGTGATTTGCTTTTCATTAATGGGACTTCCCATTGTAAAATCCACTTCCCTGTATTTCTTCTTCCAAGTTAATCAGTTGTTTTTCATTGCATCCAGGGCAACCAAGGTGGAAAGGGTGAAACAGGTCCTGCTGGCCCTCCAGGCTTCCAGGTAAGTAACTGTGTGCTCTGTTCAATCTTATATGTGGTTCCCAAAGCATGAAGAGCTTCTGCCTTAACTATATTTGTATTCTTGTTTCTTTATACTTAGGGTCTGCCAGGTCCCTCGGGTCCCGCTGGAGAGGCTGGTAAACCAGGCGAGAGGGTGAGTGACAGACACAGCATTCCATGGATGGGGCAGGCATTGCTTGAGGGTTGTGTTTGCAGTGGCACACATGGTGGAGCAAGAGCCTGTTGAATCTATTTGCCAAAACAAAGCAATCAGGGTAACATGCAAACTTTAATTTGGAAAAGTCCCTTTTGCATTGGAACTTGCATCATACTTCCTTTTTAAAAGTTTTGCTATGAAACAAAGCAAAGATAGTCCTTTGCTTTTTGGGCCTTAAGTAGCAATAAAATACACTTCTTCCCCCAGAAGAGACAGTACATGAAAAATATTTTACTTCACAATTCTTTTAAAATCTTCGAAGTTCAGTGTAACCTGCACTATTCCATTTATGTTTTTGCACCTCAGCTGATTTCAAGGAATGTAAAATGGCATCCAGCTGAGGTAGTTCAGTTGAAATTCATGCTCTAGCTGCTGCACAGTTGGTGTGGGATGTACTCTGCAAATTGTGCATCCTTTGTGTCATAATCACAGTTTACATTTATAGTTACATCTGTGTCCCTGTAGAAGAGTTTACATTGCATATACCTAAAAAAGAGCTTGTAATTTAATAATTAACTCTTCGGATAAAAAAAAAATATTATCTAATGTGTACCTTGAGGTACTGTGCAGCTGGAGGAAAAGGGCTTATTTCCATGTATGTAATAGATTGTCTGAAACTTCCATATGCTGCTGCAATTTGAGAATTTCCATTTGTTGTAAGAAACAAAGTACAATTTAAGCAAGTAAAATAAACTTTACCTCTATATCTACTCTCTTCTAGGGTCTTCATGGTGAATTTGGTGTCCCTGGTCCTGCTGGCCCAAGAGTGAGTAACTAATTTGAAATCTGGTACAGACTGTCTTAATAATGTGTTCAATCATGATAGTAACTATGCATGTTTCCATGTTCCTCAAGGCAAAAAGCTCTTCTCTGTTACAGAAGAGTGTATTGTAGCAGACTTACAGGAATGAAGGATAATATTCTCTGCTCTTTGTAGGTGTTAGGGTATTTGAGTTAGGGTTAACACAGTTGCCAGTTCTAGTAAACTTCTGAATAAGTATAAATATTACCCAAAAAATGATATCCTGTATTAAACTTACAATGAGACTGTGGATGATAAAGGACTGATACTGCAGTGTTACTCTGAGGCCTGATGAATATGAGGGTTTTCATCTGCAGTGCCTGTGCACACACCTTCTTAGCCTGACCATTTCAGTTCTACTATCCCTTGCTAGGCAGCTCCTACCTCCCCAGTACTGTCTTTGAATTAAGAGTGGACTGAATTCAGAAACCAGAATAGTCATTAGAAGGTATTGCCTCCCAGTTCCCTTTAATTCTGAACTGTCAATAAATATCCTCAAAGAGCTTTGTGTGGATGCTTTCCTGCATGGCAGGAAGATCCCATTTATGTAGAGCAAGAAGTAGTTTATAAAGGGCTCAGTTAAGTATTTGCTTTCCAAATCCACGTCTAAAGAGACTGATATTTCACCTACTTCTGTTGCTTCTTCTTTTCTTCTGACTTCCAGATTAAATATATACAGTGACAAATATTCCCATTCACTCTTATAAGTTATTTCAATCAGTTTAAACAGCACTTTTTCTCCCTGTGGTTTAGTGCCCTGAGTCTGTATCAAAAACCATGTCTGCGCTAAACTCTCATTTTGCCATTTCATCCAAGCCAAGTTCCCTTTGTCATGGCAGTAGCAGTTATTTGCCTCTACTCTAGCTTGCCCCAAGCATCATATATCGAGCCCTCAGTGTACTTCATCCAATATTCCAAATTAGGCCTTACTGATGCTTTATACACAAAACTAACACTTCCTAAATGTATCCCGCTGCTTGTGCTACATCATCTTTTCCTTTTACATGTCTGTGTCATATTGTTGGCTATTATCTTTCCCTTTCAGTCATTTTCACAATCAAAGCCTTCATTTACAGAAGAATTTGCAGTTTTGATGCCTAAATAAATGGCCTGGTACTTGCATTCTTGAATTTATCTCTTTGCTCTGACAGCCATTTAGCAGGTTATTCACTTCTTCCTGTGTAGTCTGCCAATCCTTCTTCCTGTTGACAAATGCTTCCTTTGTGATATTTGCATATTCCTTCTTTTTCTGCCTCTCTGTAATTAAAAAAATTTATAAAACAAGTTAATTTAGGAACATCTCTACAATATAAATTAATCTGTTGCATCATTGACGCTTTCTACTGGTGAGCTAACTCCCCTTAAGTCGATTCTTTGACCACATTGTAGTTCTTACACAAATTCCAATTTTTTCAGCATAACTAAAAACTCAGTTATGCCTTATTAGATTATTCACTGATGTCCAGCTTGATCACACTGAGATTATTTGAGATATCTTTAGTAAAACTGGTGTTTCTATCTCTGATAGAAGTATTGTGCATTTAAATTGAGTTTCTGGTTACTTCCATGTCTCCAGATCTATAATGCAGAATTTATCATTATACCTGTTATAATGTACAGGTCACATTAGTAGCCTTTAGGTGTTACCTTTATTATTCTCCTTGGTCACCAGGCACTCGCCACTGCAAAAATAATTGTTGGCCAGTTACTATCCCTTTAATTTCACTGCAGTCCATTATTTGTCCTAAAACAGAATCTCCAGTTGATAGTAGGATGTCTGTTAACAGAACAAGCACAGTAGCTAAAATCCATGTTTGAGAAATATTAATACTTTAGTTGTCAGCTGTTGTCATGATGCAAGACTTTATTACTTCATTTTGATATTTTTGTGTCAAAAGCTGGAGTCAGTTCTTATGACAAATTTGGTTAATAGCTGCCCAGTTCTAATGAAAGGTTTATTCAGATAAACATGTGACATGCCAGTGCTTTCAGCTATAGAGCAAGTCAAGGAAGCACTCAGATCAAACTGTGTCCTGCAGGGTGAGCGTGGTCCTCCTGGTGAGAGTGGTGCTGTTGGCCCTGCTGGTCCCATTGGAAGCCGTGGTCCCTCTGGCCCACCAGGCCCTGATGGTAACAAGGTATGCCTTTTCCAGCTGCCACTGCTTTAGTGTTTGAATTCCTGATCAACACAGTCCAAAACCTCTCTCCATGTGGTGAAGTTCCATCCCACTCTAGTCCACACTAATAATAAATGGGTTTATCTTTAGTAATATAGATGATGGGAGGGGAAGTCAGTTTGAATACATGTTGTCAGCTGGATATGCTGTTATACTGTTTGGAGATAGGATCTGAGATTCTGACCAAAATTCATGCTGACTTCTGTTTATACCCACACCTACCTGTACACAGGAAGCTCTTGTGTCTAGTTAGCAATATTTTCCCCCAAATATTAGAGTAGTAATAAGTGATCATCTAGCAAATGAGGATGTTGGGTTGATGCTAAGTGAATCTGGGTCTTAGTTTTCTAGATTTTCATGTCTAGTCTTTCTGCAGAAGTTTAGTTTGGAAAATGGACCTAAAACTTCAGGAGCCCACAGAATCAGAGAGAGCGTTCACATCTAGCATCTTCACTAGCTGGAAAAGTAAAACATGTACAATAGCTTGAGACAAAAATGTTACTACTCACACTGTTTACAACCAAGCAGAATGGTGGGCAGAATAGCAATGATGATTTTGTTCCAAACTGTGTGTGACTTGACCCTGACTTACATGATATGCTGCTGCTGCTAGGGTGAGCCTGGCAATGTTGGTGCTGCTGGTGCTCCTGGTCCTGCTGGCCCTGGTGGAATCCCAGGAGAGAGAGGTGTTGCTGGTGTTCCAGGAGGCAAGGGTGAAAAGGTAAGATGGACAACTGGCTTGTTATTGCATGCACAGGTTTAAGATACCTAAATTTCATTAACTTGGAAAAACCTGCAGGTTACCCCAATGTGACTTTTATTTACTGTGCAATTGTATTACGCAATGGTCAGCAAGTAGAGGTTTTGTTTGTCTAACGGGCTGACTGTCTTTTCTAATGTGCCATCCTAAAACTTTTTTAAAAACACTATGTATTGACATGAAGATTAATGAAGAGCTGTCGGCTGTATTGATAAAAAAAGAGAGAGAGAGAACAGAGTGCTGATCTGGTTTCTTGACTCTAGTGATGCCCTGAAAATAACTTTTTGTTATATAAAACATGTGGTATTTTATGTGTCCACCCATATGACATCATTGTTTTTAATAGCTGTTTTCTTGCTTCATATAGAAGGTATAACATGAATACCTAGAAGAACTTTTACAAATGGATCTCTCTTGACCGAAAGAAAAGAGATTTTGAGGGGGATTTAGATTCATCATTTGTAATATACATGGACATGGTTTTCAATTTTTAATTCCATTCAGAATTCCTGGTACCTGAGAAGAAGCCAAGAAGGCTTCTCATGACAGATGCAGGTTTATTCTGAAAAGCATGCCAGCACCCTTTCCAAACATTAGCTTTGCCAGTCAGTACCTACTCAGCAATAAGAACAAAATAATCAATGCTCGTTTCTCCGGAAAACCTAGCATAAGGTTTTTGTATGATGTCTAAGTAATGCACAGATACTCAGCAAAGAGCTCAAGACTTCCTTGATACAAACTTTCGTGTTCACTACCAATCAATTTTTCCCACTGTGTGTTCCAGGGTGCCCCAGGTCTGAGAGGTGATACAGGTGCAACAGGAAGAGATGGTGCTCGTGTAAGTGTCTTCTGGTTCTACTTGACTTTACCTTGCTACACCTCAGAACTAAAATAACTGAGAAAAATGTTCAGAACTTGCATTTCCCACTGTATTGCATTACTGGTTGTATCTGCTCATTTTTGATACAAATCAATTTAATTTTGTTGCCCCTTTTCCTAGTATGATTGAATTCAGGGGAAGAGAGAGAAAAGTGATCACTTCTCATGCATCCAAGCAGAGAAATTACATGAGCAGAATATTTCACAGACATTGCACAGCTGTTCAGTGTGACAGTGTCCTCTTTAATTTCATGGGCTCAGCCCAGACAGCCTGCAAAGGCAGCCTGCAAAGTTACACAAAACTACCCTTAATTTGAGATTTCAGGTGTCTTCCTTAGGATTCATACTTTGGGAAGGAAAAGCAGAACAGGTTTTGTTTTATAAAAGCATGTATCCTTTATATTGAGAACATCTGAAAGAAAGTTAGTTACACACCTTTCTCAAGGGGGAAAGAGAAAGCTTATTTAAAGTAGTTGGTCCTGCTTACCTTTTGTTTGAAACAGTGTCCTATCTCTTGGCCTGTAGGGTCTCCCTGGTGCTATTGGTGCTCCTGGCCCTGCTGGTGGTGCTGGTGATCGGGTAAGTCTGCTCTTTGAATGAAAAATGCCTTGTTGATACTATTTACTCACACGAATATTAAAGATGAGTTCCATAAAAACCAATTCCATCTTTCTAGTTTGCACCAATTATTTAAGTTTTTCAGATTCAGGATGCAAAGGCTTTTTAGACTATTCAGTGAAGCTTGCCATAGGATCACAAACCTTTTTCTAAAAGGGTAGGAAAGGGGATACAAATCTGCATGGCAGTGGGTTATATCTGGAGAGGATTCTGATTCAGCCTTGGGCTGAGGTTGAACTCCACAATGATACTCACACTGTGAGAGATTTTGATACGATGATGAATAACCACACGTTAGCTCAGACTGATATTTTATGCTGTCTGAGAATCATTAGATATTATTAATACAGGGTCGATCAAAACCAGAAGCATTTTCAGTAACATCCCCTGTACTGGAGATCCAAGGAGACTCACTATACATATCTGTACCACAGGAGCATTCCTGTTCTGGCTGCAGTTAGATCATTTCCCAGAGTCAAAATGTTTTGTCTGTCTTTTAGGGAGAAGGAGGTCCTGCTGGTCCTGCTGGTCCTGCTGGTGCCCGTGGTATCCCTGTAAGTTGTAATTTCTACAGTTATTGCTGTATCAAAAACATGATGTTCAGAAAACTGCTCTTTTAAAGACTGTTCTAACCAATCATCTCTTTGTCCTCACTCTAGGGTGAACGTGGTGAGCCTGGTCCTGTAGGTCCCAGTGGATTTGCTGGACCCCCTGTGAGTTTTGTTTGCACTTTCCTTATATTGATGCCATAACCTTCCTCTATTTCCTCTGCAAAGCTTTCAATTCCTCATTTTGTCTGTTTTTCTGCCCACAGGGTGCAGCTGGTCAGCCTGGTGCTAAAGGCGAGCGTGGGCCCAAAGGACCTAAGGGTGAAACTGGACCAACAGGTGCCATTGGCCCAGTCGGTGCTTCTGGACCACCAGTAAGTGAATTGTGTCTTTGTGAAATGCATAGTTCTCAACTGTGCCATGCAAGCAATATATTAGCCTGAAAGCCTTGAATTCTGAAAAGGTAATGAAAGAAAAACAAAACTTCAAGCTAGGCTGTGAGAAAAGTTACCATGCTGATTTTCACACATTATGTAAATTTTATCAATCTATTTATGTGGGCTCAGATCATGAGTCTGGAACTGAAATGAAGAGAAAATAATAACTAATTTTCAACTTGCTCTGAAGATCAGCAAAATCACTCTGTCTTGGACCATTCAGGGGGTGATTGTGGGTAAGTTCTGAGATGAGGACATTGACCTTTTTCTCTCAAAGATGGGATGTGCTGTTACAGTCTGATTTTCCGACTCAGTCATCCAGAAGCATGTGTGCAAATTTGTCTGTGCGCCAATTTGCACATAGGCTTCTCATGTGCTGGCACCTTTATGGCCCAAAGTTGTATTCTGCCTCACATGTATATTACTGGGAAACTGCTTGAAATGATGCAGAAAGTCAGACCTGCATACTTCAAATACCACAAAGTGTTGCAGGATAGTGTGGCTTGGGTTATTTATTGTATGATTTTAATACCAATAGCAGGCTCTCACACTAAGTGGCTGTATTAGTCACACAGTGCAAACAGAGGATTTGATGATTTTGCCCTGTTTTCACATTTTGACTCCAGATTTGTTTAGATGCATGTAACATTTGCAAGGAAATTAATCTGAATCATAAATGCCTTATGCAACTTTTCTCGGGTCTTATGATACCAATTTAAAATGTATGTGAGAATTTAATACCCTGCTGTCAGGATAGGCTGCATGGTTTTGGGCCCAGTCCTCCTGCTGGTGTAAAAATCACCCTTTGCTTTCACAATAGTGAGACTGAGCCCTTGTTTTAAATAGAGAGTATTAATTATCTTTGCTTGATCCATCACTCTTTTTCAATCCTTCATACTTAGGGTCCTGCTGGTGCTGCTGGTCCTGCTGGCCCTCGTGGTGATGCTGGTCCTCCTGTAAGTCTTCAGGCTTTTAGTACTGACATTGTTGCTTTTCATGAAGTTATTGTTTCCTTCAAACCTAATCTTCATTTTCAAATTTGTTTTTAGGGCATGACTGGTTTCCCTGGTGCTGCTGGAAGAGTTGGTCCTCCTGGCCCTGCTGTAAGTAACTAATGAAGAAATGTAATGGGAGATAAGTCAGAAGCTGCTTTGCCTAGGGATAATCCTAACTTTTGTTTCATTGATGTGAATCATAATTGCACTGGAATAACCTCAAATCCTTATAGAATTGGATGAGAAAAAAAAATCTAATTCTTTAGAGTACAGCCTATGCATTTAATTTGTGAGTTTTATCAAAACATCTATCAAGCATCCCTATGCTTATTGAAGTACCCAACCATTTCCAACAATCAGTGTTTATTTGCTTTTGTTCAAATCAATGGATATGCAATTACTCATGATGGAGTGGAATAAAAAGAACATGTCCAATCTGCAGAAGAATATTAAGGTTATTGTATGTCTCCATTTTCTAAAGTACCTGCAGTTCTAGTCCCTAAGGAGGGACTAGTGAGGGCAAACTCAGTCTGTTTTGGAATGTGAATCCTTTTTATTTTTCAGCAAGAAATTCTCATTCTAGATTCACATTTGTAGTCTTTTCTTTTCAAAGGTGTTTCCAACCTTTACCAAAAAGCACTTCTGTTCTTAGTTACTCTAGATTTAAATAAATTTTAAATCCCATTCCCCAAAGCAAATAATCTGTTGAATTGGAAGATATTGGGTTTTTTTTTTCTCATGGATTTTATAGTTGCAATTAATGTCTCCAAGAGACATATCTATATTTCCTACTAAATTTTGCTACTTTAAGCTGCCCAGAGTTTAAAAAAAAAAGTCAAATAATTCTACTGCTTCCAGCTCTCCACTGCTAACAAAGCAATAGAAGTTGCGGCTTTGGAGTAGCTGATGACCTGTTTATTGCAAGGGACTATTTTTTCACATGGACTTAAAATGAAATTTTATCCTCAGGTCTATATTGTAATGGTTTTGTATTCATACTCAATCCTAGGGCATCACTGGTCCCCCTGGTCCTCCTGGCCCAGCTGGCAAAGATGGTCCTCGAGGTCTACGTGGTGATGTTGGACCAGTCGGCCGCACTGGTGAACAAGGTATTGCTGGCCCACCTGGTTTTGCTGGTGAGAAAGGTCCATCTGGAGAAGCTGGTGCTGCTGTAAGTTACTGAGTGTCACATCTCATTAAATATGTTTATCTTCATGTGAATGTTATGGCTTCTGAGATACTTTTGGTGTTTGTGAAGGGCTTTTCGACTTTATCCACAAATTTAGCAAAGCCTTTAAGTAGAAGTTCCACTGAGACATAAGAAATTGTTCATAGGTATGCTTGACAAACATACTATAAAAAGTGAGCCCGATTCCTGGATCAGGGTTTTCTTTTTCTTTTTCTCTTGTGGTGAGTTGTATCTTTCTCTAACTACAGAAGAAACTGATATTTAGTTTGAGAAAAGGAAGCACATATTCTACTCTGAAATTGATCCTCATGGATAGAAAAACAAGGAACCTGTGAATGTCCATTTAGAACAATCTCAATTCATAGCTGCATCAGAAACTTTGATTTGTGGGAATCACAAGGTTAAAGTTGTCTTCCCACAGGTTGATGTAGAATTATGCAAATAAACTAATTACTTTTGAGTATCTTTAAGCTTTCACATCCAGAATTACTGGCTTTTCTTAAAAGTCATACATGTTTCTGTCTTAATGAAGTAAGCACTTGTGTGAAATACCACAATTGTTACTCAACAAAAAAATACAGAAATTTCTTCTGTGATCTGCAAAAATTGTAACCGAGAATGCAGTTTTCAATATCATTGTATGATGTGTATGTTACATTTATTTTTGTCAGTTAATATAAATATTATTCTTTTCATGTCATAGGGTCCTCCTGGTACCCCAGGTCCTCAGGGTATTCTTGGTGCTCCTGGTATCCTTGGTCTCCCAGGCTCTCGGGGAGAACGCGGTCTTCCAGGCATCTCTGGAGCAACAGTGAGTATATGATTAGTTAACTGCTTTAAACAGATAGCATGTAATTAAAAAGAAAAAAACCCAAACACATTGAGGTCCTGTCTTATGGGAAGCCAGGGAGATGCAGGTTATGCTGTTTCCATTGCTGTTGGAAACAGAGGATATGGACCTACCAGATATAGATCAGTGGAAGAAATAACGGCTTGTTGCAGACAAACCAGAATTATCTGCAGGTGAGCAAATTTCTGAATGTCAGAAATATTAAGGTTTCTAGTAGTAACATTGTGAATGAAGATAACATTTGATATAGATAGGTATGTTTCTTGTGTCCTGATTCTTTTTTCCTTCCCAAACTCATTGTAGAGAAATGTTGCTCTTAGATAAAGGCTAGAAGTTCTGTAAGACTGGTTTGTGTTGTACTATAATGTCACATTTTGTTACAACTGTTCCTGTATTAGGGTGAACCTGGTCCCCTGGGTGTTTCTGGTCCTCCTGGTGCCCGTGGTCCCTCTGGTCCTGTGGGTTCTCCTGGTCCCAATGGTGCTCCTGGTGAAGCTGGACGTGATGTAAGCTGGTTTTTTATCCTCTTCAGGTTGCTTTTTCTTTATTCTGATCCAAATACAAATACTTGGAAAAAGTGGATGAACCCGGAGGCTGTTCTGCTAGCAAACTTGTGCAATGTCTTCAGAGAAAATTATATCAGGATTTTATAGACATGGATTCCTATGCCAACTAGGTGACAGACATTTTAAAGCACAAGTTGTGTCTGAAATACATCCTGAAATCACACTCAGAATCTTTTCACTTTTTACTTAAATGCCAAGCAAGGTGGAATGGGGAACATACATATCTCATGAAAGTATAAAAATTGCAGCCTTATCAGGGAAGCTTATTTGATAAACTGAAGCATAGTTAATATGTTGCTAATACAAATCTTCCAGAGACTTTGCAGAATTTCAAAGAGAACAGAGAATAGTAATTCAAAAATCCTGAACTTTGTTTCACTGGAATTTTCTGAAGGAAAATGGGTTTTTTTGGACACAGCCTAAGTGCTCAAGTGAAATTAATATTCACAAAGGAAACCATTTAACCTTACAAAGTACCACAGCAAAGTAATTTAGTTGTGGCTATTCTTTAGGTTCTTTTCCCTCCACTAGCATTTTTCATCTAAAAAGAAAGTCTCAGTTTTAAGAGTGCAAGCTAGTGAAGAGCACTATTATCTTTGCCTTTTCATTTAGAGAAATGTTGCAAAGCCCAGTAATTTTTTTCTTTACTGAACTTTTAAAACCTCAAGTTTGAAGACCATTTTAGTTTTCTCAGAACATTAGTATATTTAAGGCATTTGAGAATGGCATGTATAAGGAAGAGGTTTTTTCTCTTTAAGATTTATACTATCCTACCTCAATATCTTCTTATTCTCACTGTAAGCAATTAGTCTGAGACACAGTTCTGTGTGAGATGAAAGGTGATGAAATTTAGCAAATTTTTTAATGGTATTTTAATAGGGCAATCCTGGAAATGATGGTCCTCCAGGCCGTGATGGTGCACCTGGTTTTAAGGTAACTCGTTTATTTTTCTTTTATTTCATTGTCATGGAAGAAATATTCCAGTATGTGTAAGTCAGTAATAACACAATGTTTCTCATCTTGCATTCCTTTGCTCCCAGGGTGAGCGTGGTGCTCCTGGTAGTCCTGGTCCCAGTGGTGCTCTGGGTGCTCCTGGTCCTCATGGCCAAGTTGGTCCTTCTGGAAAGCCTGGAAACCGTGGTGAACCTGTAAGTTGATGAGACTTTCTAGATTAAGGTCTAAGAGGACTAAGACTTGTCTATCATATATACAAAGTACATCCCACTGCTGCAATGTATAGATAATTACTTCACTTTCTCCAGAGATGTGTTGAGCATGGAACCCTCATTAGAACAATATACAGCAGTGACATGTATTCTCTATTCTTGTTTCAGGGCCCTGCTGGTGCTGTTGGTCCTGCTGGTGCGTTTGGTCCAAGAGGTCTTGCTGTAAGTCTGATTTTTCAATACATTACCACATTGATGCTAGAAGAGAAAACATGGTTTATCAATAAGGACTCATAACTGTGATCAAAGGGCCCAAAAAGTAATGCTTAAGGACCTGAAACTATTTAGGAACTTAGAATCGCAGTTAGCATTCTCTTCTGTGGGATCAATCCTGAAGCTTTTGGGATTGGCACTCTTCCTGAGTGTGTTAAGGGGATGTCCATTATATATATTGCGATATGACTTAATGTAGAATATTTACACTTAATTCTTGCTTTGACAGGAGTATGTTCTTGAAGCCTTCTAATTTATTCCCTTGACACCTATACCCCTTCCTAGGGCCCACAAGGTGCACGTGGTGAGAAAGGTCTACCTGGTGATAAGGGACCTAGAGGTCTGCCTGGCTTGAAGGGGCACAATGGATTGCAGGGTCTTCCTGGTCTTGCTGTAAGTAAATGATTTTCAGGGTTTTGAATATAAAGAGAAAAAAAAAAAAAAAAAAAACCAACAAAATAAGGTCTTACCAGCAAAGAATTACGTATGCACAATACAATATGTTAATACCACTTACTCCACTCTGCAGAACCTTTCAAATGAAGAGTCATAGTCTCTTTAACATTCAACATTTTTTATACAAAATGGGAGATTCTGGTATTGGTTTTGGAACTGTGACTACCATTAGTTCCCTTGAAGCTTAATTCCATTCGGCTAACAAAGAATGAAAAAAATCTTCTACTTTTGTTTTAGTATTATTTCTTACTTTGGCCAGAAAGTGTAAAACTTTTAACTTAGAAAAGCTGAAGTAATTGTGTGGATTTTCTTCCCTTTAAATTTGGGTATCAACATTAGGAATTCTGACTTTTCTTTTAAATACTTTCTGATCTTCTCTGAAGATTGTGTAGGTTATCCTCTTAAATTGTATAGGTTATCCTCTTAAATATATCTTGATGCCCTCTCTCCTCTCTTCCCAAAACAAACATTTTATACCCTAACTCCACTAATAAATGTCATTAGCCCTAGATTCCCATTCTCTGAACCCAAATACACATTATGTACATTTCCCTCTTGAATCAAGCAAACACAAACATGTTTCACTGCTCTTTTTTTGATGACTGTGTATCTTTCCCAATAGGGCCAGCATGGTGATCAAGGTCCTCCTGGTAACATTGGCCCTGCTGGCCCAAGGGTAAGTGAATTACAGAATATATTCAAATAACTCTCATTCTCTTTGTGCAATATATATGTATGCTCCCATCCATATGAATCCCTATTTGTAGCATTTTTAGTGTCATTTAAACTGTTCAAATTTCCATTTAGGGTCCACCTGGTCCTTCTGGTCCTCCTGGTAAAGATGGTCGCAATGGTCTCCCTGGACCTATTGGCCCTGCTGGTGTGCGTGGCTCTCATGGTAGCCAAGGTCCTGCTGTGAGTATAGCCTTTTTTTTTTTTTTTGTTGATTTAACACATTTATGTTATACTATAAGCCTAGTAATTCCGTCACTTCAGAAGCGTAGAAGTTTAATAATGCATATGGTTTTATTTCTTAAAAAAGACATTTAATATTAGGGAAATGTTTAATAGACATGAACTAAAACATTTTCTTTGTTCCTTATGGCCAGAGTGCTAATGCACAAAGGAGATGTGGTAGTGCTGCACTGTGCATCTTCCATTGCTTCAACCCAGAGCAGTCACCACAGGGCAAGTCCATGTGTGCTGCCTCCAATTAGAGCTGAGAGTGCCAGGAGTTAACCAGGAGTATGCATGTGTGGAAGGATTTCATTAAAAGCACCATATCTCTAACAGAATGCTTTTTGTCTTCTGCTTTTGAAAAACTTCAGGGTCCTCCTGGTCCTCCTGGTCCCCCTGGCCCACCTGGTCCCAATGGTGGTGGATATGAAACTGGTTTTGATGCAGAATACTACCGGGCTGATCAGCCTTCTCTCAGACCCAAGGATTATGAAGTTGATGCCACTCTGAAAACACTGAACAACCAAATTGAGACGCTGCTGACCCCAGAAGGCTCCAAAAAGAACCCAGCTCGCACCTGCCGTGACCTCAGACTTAGCCACCCAGAATGGAGCAGCGGTATGTTAGTGCCAGATGTTTGTTCTTTCTGTCTCAGGGAGCACTTCCAGGGCATTAGCTTTCTTCAAAGAAAAGTATCCTTGGCCATGTGGCAAAAATACTAAATGACCAATGAAGTTTTTTCTGCCTCCACTGAAAATACAGTTACATCATGAAAAGCTCTTTGTTGATATTGTTGCACATTATTGCAATAATTTTCCAAAATAATACAAAAATATTTAACCCTTGCTTTTAAATACAGTTTCTTATACATTAACAATCCAAAATATCTGTATCCCACTTATCACCTTAATATTGCACCTAGCTGTGATATTTATGGCCTGAGTTCCCATATCAGACAAGTGAACATGAACTGCATGCAAAGTTTATGCCGAGTGAACCATGATTCACATTTCTTCCCTCAACGGCAGGCTTCTACTGGATTGACCCCAACCAAGGCTGCACTGCAGATGCCATTAGAGTATACTGTGATTTTTCCAATGGTGAGACTTGCATCTATGCCAACCCTGACAATATTCCTGCTAAGAACTGGTATATCAACAAGAATCCCAAGGACAAGAAGCAGCACATATGGTTTGGTGAAACTATCAATGGTGGCAGCCAGGTAAGTGATGTATGGCAGGGTGATTGTTTCCTACAGCACTGTCTGAAAAGTTTTCAATTTGCTAGCTCTCTGAAGCAAGCAGATAAATTAAAGAAAAACATCAATGTTTTTAATTTATATTTTTTACATAAAACACATACAATTCTATTCCTGGAAAGATATTTATATTATACATCATATTCTGAATGCATGCCACCATAACATTCAGAATTGTTGGTGTAAGTAAAAACAAGAACTACTACTTGTGCATTAGATACTGTCCCAGCAAATTGCAAATACATCACTTTCATACAGCTAAGGAGCTTAATTCTTAAATTAAATTGAGTTGATATTGTGATGAAGTGTCTACGATGAGATTTAATCACATTGGATCAGAGCAGTCTAGGGTCCTGTTTCTTAGAAGGTCAAAAAGTAAATGCTGTAAAAAGAATGTAAGAGTGAAGAAAACATTTGTACTATCCACAGACACTATTAAATTTAAAAAATTTCAAAATTCTATCAAAAAAGGTTTCCCGGTTTTATTGAGACAGGCATTGTTTGTGTGTAGCTGTGAGAACAGTAGATTTTCTTCCTTGAACTTTACCTGATCTTGTCTCTGAATTCATGTAAACTGTTAACACCATACCTTGGAACAGAACTCTACAGTTCAACTACATCCACTCATGTCTGGTTGTCAGTCTACCTCCTCCTACTTTTATTTCATATTCTTTAGCTCTGGAGTTGCAATAGAAAAGTGACTGCAGACTTCGAATTCTTTTTTTTTAAAGTTACTAGCTGTCATGGTTTAAGCTCAGATAGAAATTAGGTACCACTGCCACTTGCGCAACTCCTCTCTCTTCCCTACAATCCACCGTAGTAGAAGGGGGCAGAGAATCAAAGTAAAACTGGCATGCTGAGATAAAAACAGTTTCATATTTGAAATTAAAATATAGTAACAATGGTAAATAATAATAAAAAGGAAAGCAGTACATGATGCAAAATGTCATTGCTGACCACCTGATGACTGGCGCCACACCCCCCCTGTTTCCTGAACTCAGATTGGTTGCCCTTTTGGGTTACTTCATCCCAGTTTATATACTGGGCACTATTTTTATGGTGTTAAATATCCCTTTGATCAGCCCAGGTCACCTGTCCCAGCTATGCTCCCTCCTAGTTTCTTTTGCCCACTTCCTCACTGGCAGAGCATGAGACACACCAGAAAAAAAAAAAAAAAAAGTCCTTGACTTAGGATAATCACAACTTAGCAAAATCCAAAACATCAGTGTGTTTTCAACACCATTCTCATTCCAAATCCAAAACACAGCACTGTATCAGCAACTGAGAAGAAATTAACCGCACCCTAGCTGAAACCAGGACACTAGAGCAGCTATCAAACATTTTCATTACAAACATCCTCCTTTCCCCCACAATACAACTGACTGGGTTCCTCTCTGTTTTTCAGTTTGAATACAATAGTGAAGGAGTGACCTCCAAGGATATGGCCACCCAACTTGCCTTCATGCGTCTGCTGGCCAACCATGCCTCCCAGAACATCACCTACCACTGCAAGAACAGCATTGCCTACATGGATGCAGAAACTGGCAACCTTAAGAAGGCTGTTGTGCTGCAGGGATCCAACGACGTTGAGCTACGAGCTGAAGGCAACAGCAGATTCACTTTCAGTGTTCTCGAGGATGGCTGCTCTGTAAGTAACACAGAAACCACGGGTGTGGTGACTGCCCAGGCATAAGCATGTGATTAGGGATAGAGTTGTGCTTTAATTCAGAATTAGATTATTGGTCAAACCAGCAAAATTTTGCCTGGTGAAGATACGTAGCGTACAAACCCAATCATGGCAGATCCTTAACAAGTGATAAGGAAAAGGTTACAAAAAAATCCTACCTTGTACTGTACATGTAGCCAAAAAAAAGAGTTTTCAGAGGGACCAGATCCAAATTCTATGTAAACAGAAGATTGATAAGCAAAAATGCACATGCTATAGAAGGGGCAGGATCTTTAAGTTCTGAAAGAATCAGGCAGGGTTCTCTTTGGAATCTAACATCAATGTGAATAAAATAGTAGCTTGCATACAGCATCCCATTGGACTACAGAAGATTCACGTAAATATTTTCTCTATATTGGAGATCTCAATAGTTGGATGTGGATATCTGATTTGCAAATAGTAGAAGCAAAATTAATACGAAATTATTTCAGAAATTATCCATTCAGGTGAAACAATTCTTAATACTGTAAGCAATGCAATAACAACTGCAATGAATCTTCTCTTACAGAGAAAGAACAACGAATGGGGCAAAACAATCATTGAATACAGAACAAATAAGCCATCCCGCTTGCCCATCCTTGACATTGCACCTTTGGATATTGGCGGCGCTGACCAAGAATTCGGTTTGGACATTGGCCCAGTCTGTTTTAAATGAATGAACTAAAATTAACTTAAATCCTCTCCCAAATTATTCTCTTGTCATTTCTTTTTATAATGAAAGCTGACTCCTTCCATTTCCTCTGTTCATCTACTTGCTTAAACTCTGGGCCAAAGAGAAGGAGAAGAATTGATTGGAGCATTGTGCAATGAAATTTAATACAACCCCAAATGGACTTGGAAGTCTTTGAAGATTTAACACCTTGTGTTGGGAAATGTCAACCTTTGTAAAGAAAAAAAAAAAAAAACCAAAATAAAAAGTCATGAAAGTTTGCACCACTTGTGGCCTTTGAATATCTTCCACAGAGGAAGTTTAAATCCATGACTTCCAAAGGTTTAAGCTACCTCATACACTAAATCAAGAGTGATCCACATATTTTGTAGGAACTTCTCCATATGATCTGAGGTACTTTCAATTCCACTCAAAATACAGTGGTGCTATTTGCATAATTACAGAGTATCTTTCCAATACTTGAACTTTGATGGTGCTAGTGGCATTTAAAGTATTGCTTCTCTGTTTCTTTGAAGTCTGTCTTAAAACTTAGGATGTCCTGTCTCACCCACAGCTTAAGCATGTGGATAATTTTTCTTCTTCTTTGTCTTCTTCCTCCAAAATCAGGTGTTCCCACTTTCAAATTGCATTTCAATCTTCTACTATGGGTAAAACAAAGGTCATCATTTCTCAAAAAAGAAAGAAAATGTATTTTGTATATGTGAGATGTTTAAATAAATTGTGAAAAAATGAAATAAAGCATGTCCAGTGGTCCAAAAGAAACTATTTAATTATTTGCTTAGACGCATTGGAGATTCTCACACCAAGATTTTAGCACGATGCTATAAAGCATTTTGTTAAAGCCTCAAAAGGTTGCCTGCAACTCCCTTAAGGGTGTGATTGTCTATTTGACTCTTCATTTCAATACTAACTTCTGAGAAGTTCTCAAGAAACTCACTCAGTAACTCTGTGTCTCAAAGTATGAGAAGTTCAGCAGCAGAAATAATTCCATCCTTCTTTTCATCTACAAAATAGGATTAATGGCAGCAAGAAGGATCATCTCACTTAAAGGTGGAAGGAAAATGAAGTTTCTCTCTTTAACTTGAGGACAGAAGGCTCCTGACTGTTAATAGAGCTGTGCTGGCTGATGCCGTGCTGTAATCAGCAGTGCCTATGCACTTCAGAAAGGATGTGCAGAAGTCTATGCCAAGAATCTCAAATTTAGTTTTTTTGTGAGGAAGGTCAGTGTTAGGCCCTTACAGTTTATTCAGATGTGTATGAGACACAGAACCATATGCTTTTACTAACTTTAATGATTTACTTTCACACAAACCACCATGAGAAGCAAAGACTTTTTCTCAGAGACCATTTAGAAGACTGCTGAAAACCCGAAATGAACTGCAACTCCAACAGCCATGTTTTTGTAGTTGGGAAGGAGTTTGAGAGAACCCACAGAGGATCATGAAGGCAACAGCAAAAGCATGTAAGGCAAGAGGTGAAATGGCCAGACAGAACCCCCAAAGAGTGACATGAAGAAAATATCCAGAATAAAGGCCCCGTAACCTGAAGAAGGCACCACTCCAAAGATTAGCAGCTGAGAGTCCGAAGGCTGCTCCACAATGGTACAAGGGGGAATAAGCACTAAAATCTGTTTCTAAATACTTTTTTTTTTTTTCGTTCCTGCTTGCAATGAACCGATTAAGGAAAATAGGGCAACATGAAAACATGCTCTTGGGTGCAGCTGCTACGTGCCTGCAGCTTTGTGCTGAATTAGTAAAAATGGGAATTTCCTTTATGAAATATAACCCATTTTTTCTTCACTAAATAAAACATACTGTAGGTAAATACCTGCATTTACTCAGTGGACCATGATGATTCTTAAAATACTATTATCTTTTTTTTTACCTTTTCAAAATAAGTTTGTTGTTGTAAAAACAGTAATTCAATGCTTGAAAACAGTAAAGACTTTCTTTCTTTGTATAGATTATCTACAAGATGGAAAGTTTCTACAAGGACTGAAAAGCTAAAATTTCATCCCCGAGGTTATGCAATTCACTAGAAGGTATGCAAAGATTATTGCTAGGATAAGGGAGGTAGGTAGACCTTTATTACCTGGGGAGAAAAAGTACCCCAAAGCACAGCTAAAGGAACACTTGAGTTTAGAAAGGAAACCACACCTAGCAAACACTGTCTCCTTTTGTCGTCTTCTGATTCCTCCTTTGCTCTCTGATCTATTCCATGGCATGTCCTTCTAGGCAGAGAACACTTCCTTTCTATCAGCTCACTAATAACATCCAAATTATGTGTTTTCAGATCTTTGCTCCAAAAGCAGCCTCATTTGGAAATTAAACCTGAAAAAATACATAGTGTTTACCCCACAAATTCCAGCCTCATTAGCACTGGACAGATACTCAGTCCGCCTTGCAGGTTTTCAGCTTATCAGAACTTACTACATAATCAAGTATTCTGCTTATGCTACATACAATATTGAAGAAACTGTCTTTCTAAGATCATAGGTGCAAATAAGAGATAAAGGGCAGACAGGGTAGAGAGCCTTAATATCATCTAGTTCTGGGAATATAAGATGTTGAATAAACTTTTGGTGAAGTGATCTTAATTATTTTTCAGAGTGCTCTGCCTCCCTATAAGCATTATCTTTGGAGAATTTCATTATCAGCAGCAGTACATCTAGAGCAATAGCATAAATTAGCTAAAACTATAGATTACCACTCTACAGCCAGGGCTTGCTACAAACTTTGCCTTTCACTTACTCCAGCTGTTTTCCTTTCCTTCCAAGATTTGTTCTTGCTACACAGTGCCAGAACAGAATTGCTGGGAAAGCTCTGTAGAGTTGGGTAGAGAAACCACTGATGTGTAGTGCTCGGTTTTGATACAACTGTGCAAACGAAAGTACTGCAGCATTCAGACCATTTTCCTCCCTGGAATCTGCAGGACTGATGACTCTCACCTGTGTGATCAATAAATATGTTCTGTCTATCAGCTTCTCTTACACAACCCCCCCAGGAGATGGACAGAGATTAAAAGGCTCCTGTCAATGTGTGCTTCAAATTGTATCTAAGCTGACTTCTGATGTCTCCAGTGCAAATATTCCTTTTTGTATCCATGCAGTTTCCTGTTACAGCAGGTTCAGCTGGCAGCACAAGGGGCTTTCTGTAGCATGTGCTTTTGCATTAATATGGCCTAAGCAAGTAAAAACTAGAGGCAAGGAGAAAGCCATCAACAGGATCAACACTGAGCAAAAGGAAGCTCAAACCATGTAGTATGATTCTAAAAGGGGCAGTTGCAACCGCACAGCCCCCTAGGGAGAAACACTAGCCACTGCAATTATCTTCAGTATCTGAGTTTATCAGTCTAAAATATGAATACTGTGCTACAGACAAATGTCCTTTAATACAGGTGAGTGACAAAACAACACTAAGAGACAACATATCTACACTTCCACCACTCAGGTTTAAGTTGAAGCTTTTGACGGGACTTTTGATTTGTTTTCTTGTAGTGGTTTCAGACAAGATTTCCTTGAATCTGCCTTCCTACCACCCTCTTGATGCAGTGTTTTACAGTATTAGAATCATGTATTCAATTGCAATGCGGTACTAGCAAGCCCAAATAAAGCTATTAGACATACAAACAGGAGTAACCCCTAAATCATTTAGCTTTACTCGGGCCTCATTCTGAGCTCATTGGAAACCCACTATTTTTCTATAGGGCTCCCCCATGAATCTCAGATGTGTAATGAATGCAATCTACAGTGCATAAATAAAGAAAGTACTGCATGCCTATATTCTAAGGCTGGAATACATTTGTCCTTTCCTGGAAAACATGTGGTTGGATATTACTTGAGCAAAATTTCCTACATTTCTATGAATCCATGCTTATGTATACACTCCAACTACTCAGGAAATGATGGTTCTCATTAAGGTAAATATAATTATCAAAACAAGCAAATAAATAATTTTATTATTATTTTGAACACAAACATTTGAAATACATATAATAAATTCCAATAATTATTACCAATATCTTACTGTGTTCAAAGTACACAAATCGGACCTTTAGGAGAAATGAAACTTTTCCCAAATGCTAATTCTGAAGACAGTGAGACAGCAGAGCAGTTCTCCAGCATTTTCACAGGCATTGTGCACCACCTACTGCCTCACATACTAATTACCAGCCCCTGAACACTGTTTTTCTAGGGCTTTTATTTCCGAATTCACCACCATTGACAGAATCACAAAATACTCTAAGATGGAAGGGATCTACAAGGACCACCTAGTCCAACTCTTACAGAAATGGCCCATAGAGGTATCGAACTCCCAACTTTGGATGTTATTGGCACCATTCTCTAAGCAACGAGCTAATCTCAGGGCTGCTGCTGTCAAAATCTTCTGTGCCAAGACTATCCTATAGGCTATTTCTTCAAAACATCAGCATCAGAACTCGCCCTAAATATGCACTAACATATGAGAAGAACAGTCATCCAAACACAAAAGCTCTTGGATAAAACTGCAGGCTCACTCAGGGCACAAAAAAGACAATAATTAAATTTACTCTTTTAGCTGTTAGGTTCTGTCAATCTGAAATTATCTTCTCTATATAGCAGTGTAAAGGACAGAGTTTTTTCTTCATTAAATTTTTTCTCCATGATGACTTAGTTTTTCTGTTTTTCAATTTTATCCAAAGGGATTTACCATTACTTTTTGCTTAAGGTATTTAACATCTCAAGGCATAAGTCTCTGCTCCCAACATATCCTAGTACAGTATCTACACCAGTGTGACAAGAGGAGTCCCCCAAACACAGTGTGATTTAATTTGGAGAAAATGCTTTTCATTACTGTTTCTAGTTAAAATGAGCTCCCTTCTCATTTATTTTCATATTTCAGCATTTAAAGGAAATAAGACTAATTCCTCAGTTTGAAAGAACATCCATTGCTATTATGGCTGTCTGTACCTGCCTCTATACCACATTTGCTTTACCACAGTCACCTAAAATCTCAATTCGTACAGAAGCTGCCCATAGACAAAATTACTTGTCTCCCAGATTCTGCAATGAGATCCAAAGGATCTTTGCTTATTCTTCTCTGAACAGCAGAGAGCAAATTACACCCATGAAGAGCACCTGCCTCACAGTAAACAAAAAGTAGAATTAACAGTTTTACTTCATTTCTCTAATCTATTTTAATTCTCATATAGATACAAGAGATGCATTAGTTCCAATAGATACAAACAAATACAAGAGGTCCTTTGAACTTCTTCAGTTCCATATGTGATTCTAGAGTACAGTTTCTAATACTTTTTTCATATAGTTCCTGTAACTCTTAGTTAGTAGTCTCCAATCTTCTGGAGAGATTAAGAGCTAAGGTTATGAATTAACCCTGTGCAGGATGAAATGGTGGTTTGTGCCTAGAGACGACAGTGTCCTTTTCTGGCTCCAGGTGAGAGGAACCAGCATTTCATCTCCCTCCTCCTGGAGGTGCTGGGGTGCCCTCAGCTGCTTTGGGAGTATGAGCACTTTGATTCTCCTGGAGATTCAGTAACTGCATTCCTACCCCCACCCACCTCCCTCCTGCAAGTTAACCATTAAATATGTATTTTGACAAGCACATCCAAGAGTAAGCAATACTGCTTAAAACACCTTGCTCATGTTTAAGGCAGTGTTTCTCTGGCCCTATATACAATATTACCATCTCTACAGCTTTTACTGTTGTCTGTACATCAGGATCTTATACATCTCTTTGTTGTAATAAGACTTGGGTATCCA